GTAAATCCGCGTTCCTGCTGAATAGGACAGGGTCGGTTAGTTTTGGGAGGGGCTTCTAGACTGAGTTTTAGGTTATGCGGGACTCTTAGATGAATAGGTTATAGATGTACCTGAGAAAAGGAGCCTACAGCAGTATCCTTCTGAGCCCTAAAGTAGCTTCAGATCACAGCCACTGAGAATGGTGATCTAAGGTGTGGTATTGAAATTGTGTTAATGTGCAAAAGGAAAACGAGAAAAAGGGGACTGATTTGTAACTTCAACAATGGTGATTTGGCTGGCCCTGGTCCCAAGGATGGTTTTGAGTGCTAAATGCAGAAACATTTTTGAGACTAGGACCTGGAGCTGAAGAACCCATCCCTATGAGTTCTCTCACCGGATATGGGTTGGTTTGCTTTGTAGTCTGGCTTCGCTGTAGACTTTTGGCAGGATGGATGCGAATATCAGAATTTATATTTTGGGTACAGAGTAGAGGGAGTTATTCTGCAGAGAGGCAGAAATTTGGAGCCTGCTTTTTTAATGTCAGTAAGTGTCTAAGGAGCAACCTGAAACTGCAAAGAGGTTACTTTAATTATTGCTCTAAGGTTCTTGACTTCTGTGGAGAGAGCCTAGGTATTTAATTTCTGTTTTGTAAATCCCAGTACTGCAGTGAAGTATGTAAAAGTTAGGCTGCTACATTTTTAGTTTGTAGCACTAAATAACTCAGTCCAATCCTATCCTAAGTTACTCAGTCCTATCATTATCTGTACTGCATTTTCCCTTTGATCTGTGTTACAGAATGCAAATCATTATTTTCTAGTAATTATGAGGGGAAAGTGTTTTAAAAAATAAATTCCATTGTAAATATAAATTCTTATAAAACTATATAGCTGGTTACAGTTATCCAGTGTAGTCTTACAAAGAAACCTTTTTTATGAGGCATTTCACTGTTGAATATTTCATATGTTCTGCAAATCGGTCTTGACAAGTAATACTATTGTGAACTGCAGTACAGTGTTACAAATGAGTGGGAGAGTTAATGCTTATTAATTAATTTGTGAATTCAACATCTTTAATTTGTATTGTTTAATAATTCACCATACTTGATGTCAATTAATTTTTATGTGTTCATAACATGTATCATTTCAAATTACTAAAGTCTTGACAGCGTAAAACCTGGCTTCAGCAATGTTCCTCTTGAAAAAGGGAGATAACAGTGGTCTGTGAATGTCTTTTAGCATTGAAGCATGACTTAATGAAAGATGGCATGTAAGTATTGGAATGGGTGGACAAATTGGAAGGTTGCTATTCAGAACACCAAACTCAGACTGTAAATATCTTTACACTTTAAGTGTAACACCTCCCATATGCATCCTAGTGTAATTACTAGGACAGCCGTAACATCTGTGTGAACTTTCTGTACATCTTTAATTATGAAAGCTATTTGTAATCCTTCTTGAGAAACTGCCAACTCTATTGTTTATAGCAAGTTTGTATAATTTGAAGAGAGAAGAAAGTAAAAAAGTGCCTTTTCTTTGTGCTGGGCAATTCTGTTCACTGGCAGCCAAGTTACATGTCGTCCAAAACTCACCATTTCCCTTCTCTGCGTGTGTTTCTCAAGAAATACTGTCAGCAATCCAAACAATAATTGGACATCAATCTTCAAAGAAGCCTGGCGAGGCTGCAAAGACATCATATTAGGGGTTAGGGGAGAGGGAAAGCTGTGGGAAACTATGAAAGTCCATCATGCCTCAGTGACTCTCTCTACCCTGATATGGTGCCAGTTTGAGGAAGCCTATACTTTGCAGCTATCTGGGGATCTCAAAGGCAAAAGAAGAAAGGGATGCATGTATTATTAGATTACCCTGTGTGATTGTAGAGCTAACTGCTTGCCTCCTGTCTGAATTCCTAACCACAGATCCCTCTGAATTCATCTGACTGCAGCAGTTGGATGTACAAGGGCACAGCACTGCAGTAACATAGAATCCCAGACTTGTTTGGGTTGGAAGGGAACTTAAAGTTCATCCATTTCCAACCTCTCCCACGGGCAGGGACACGTTCCACTAGAGCAGGTTACTCTAAGCCCCTGTGTCCAACCAGGTCTTGGAACACTGCCAGCGATGGGGCAGCCACAGCTTCTCTGGGCACCCTGTGCCAGTGCCTCAGCACCCTCACAGGGAAGAGCTTCTGCCTAAGAGCTCAGCTCAGTCTCCCCTCAGGCAGGTTCAAGCCATTCCCCTTGGCCTCTCCCTACAGGCGCTTGTCCAAAGCCCGTTTTCAGGTTTCTTCTTGTTCATGTTTCCAAGCTTCCTACACCATGACTTACTCTGTAATTTTTTTCTTCATTCTATCCAATATATTAATGCAGAAATACAGAATCAAATTATTATAAAGCATTATAGGGTTAAATTAATCTTTCAGTATTTAATGGAATTACACAGGAGACCAGATTGATTTATAATGTAAATGCGTTTTAGTAAAAGGTATGGGAAAAACTATGCAAACAATGGCATTTAAAGATGCATATCTCTAATAGAGTTTAATTTTAAACAGCTCAAAGAAAGGAATATATACACTTTTGTTAAGCTGGAAGTAACTAAAATATACTATAAGTGTTGGAGCTAATTAGTTAAGTGCTCAACTGTTTAGTTTTTAAACAAGATCACACTTAAGTGCCTTAAGCTTTTATTAATTGCATGGACCCCAAAATCCCCTGTAGTGATTGAAAATTTAATTACATACATTTTTTGTTCTTTTAAGAATGGAAGCTTATTAAACTTTAAACATTTAAACATCTATTGAAGCACCAGTGGCTATAAACAACATGCAATTCTAGATACTAATTAAACAGGAAGGCTAAATCACTATAAAGCTAAACAGAATTTTAAGTAACTTTGCACTTTTAAGTGCTCCTATTTTTTTTCATGCTGTGTAAGATTTACCATTTCCTCTCTAAGCACAGCAGAAGTCCTGGGCAGTGTTATAGAATCATAGAATCATTTTGGTTGGAAAAGACCTTCAAGATCATCAAGTCCAACGTTACCCCAGCACTGCCGGCTCCCCACCAGTAAGCCATGACACTAAGGGTCTCATCCAGTGTTTCAGGCACATTGTTATGTGGACATACTTGCAGTGGGGTTCAGTCCCTAGAGAATAAACTGGAGTCAGGACAGGAGATCCTATCTCATTAGCAGAGAGGTCTTTTGAGTGGGCAGCTGAAGCTACTGGTGGCACTGACACATGCAGAAGTTCATCTACCTCGTGGAAAGAATCCATGGTAAAGTAGGAGTGGTGAATGGCTGGGAGAGGTGGCTTTCTGGGATTGGTCAAGCACCACTGACTCACAAGACCTATAATTTTGTAACAGTTACATGTTGAAAGGCCCTTAATTTTTTGTTTTATAGAAACCTCACAGAACCGGGACTGGAGATACTTGTATCTTGGTTCTCTTTTTCACATCCAATCTCATGGAATTCTTTGTCAGTTATCAACAGGTTAACATCCAGCTAATTTTCTTTGAACACATATCTGACCTCTCAAAATTAGCCATTGTTGTTTGCATTCTTATTAACAAGAGATAAAGACAGAACAAACCTCTCTGTCTAAACTCTGTTCTGATTTTTAGATGGGTCTCTTTGATGTAAAGGTTCACTTTTGTTTCTGCTTGGTCAACAGAACAAGAACATTACCAGGTTAAGGTTGAAGTGGATTGCTCATAGATAGGCACAGCATTATCCTATACCCAAAGCAAATCTGTGCTTACAGTATTTGAGATGCTGCCCATCACTGTAATTTCAAATGCCCTGAGGGATAGCAGAAGTAACCTAGTTGGATGAACAGCAGCGGAGGATACACCAGAATACAGATTCAAGGAAAGTTCCAAGCATGGATTGTGAGCCCTGTCAGGCAGATGCAGTTCATCTCTTGTCAGAGTATTAATGTAAATACTTAAACATGAAACGCTTGATCGCTTGATGTGTTTGTCTTCTGTTGCAACCATTGTGTTCTCACACACTGTTTTAAATATTCAGAGGTAGTTGTGATCTTGCCCTTTGATATGTGAGTAAACACAACAGCTAATTTTTCTCAGCATAGAACAGCAGAAGCAGTTGCATGTAGAACATACAGGTGGGACTCTCCAGGAGTTATGATTCCAGCTTCCTTCTAGCACCTCCAACCCTGCTTCAGAAGATTCAGATCATCCAAGAGAAATTGTAAAAGGTCCACAATTCGAAATCTGTTTTCCAAACACCAAAGAACAGTAGGAAGGAAAAGATCCTTTCTCAGGAATAAATGTTTTCTCTTTGCTAATGATGGTTCTCAGAATTGCTTCGTTTCTTCTTGCAGCACCTCTCATGAGCCTATCTAGTTCACTCAAGCATTTACACGGCACTCTTACTCCCCCAAATGGTTTAAAACAATAATCTCTACAACTGCTGAAAGGTAAATGGTCTTGTAGAGTCAGAAGCAGTGACCACATAACTTTCATCAAGGGGGTATCAAAGGTCGCAAAGGCTAGAAGTGAGATATGATTTCTTCCCTTTTCTGCATCTAGTTTGAGTTTTATCTCTAGAAAACCAGAATGAAGATTCTACCAATCTTTTTATTTGTAAGTGAAATGCAAATGCACTTTTCACTTCCCAGGAAACACTGGTTTTGCAAACCCCATCCGTTTCTTCTTTGTGTCACTAGATGGCCCCACGTCTGAAGCAGACATCCCAGAAAATACCTGCTAGACAGTGAGAACTTTTGCCTGCTCTGCCCCGTGCTTCTTACAGGTTGGCAAACACACGGAGAGCTATTAGTTTTAAAATAAAATAAGCGCTGATTGTGCTATCTCAAGTGTTTAAATTGGCAGCAGAACACTATATGATATCCACTGCTGTGTACAGAGCAGAGGGAGCAGGTAGGTCTAATCTGACAAAGGAGAAGCATGCTAAAGATGAAAGTTGGTTTTGCAGCAAATTACATCACCCAAAAGCACCTTTGCACCTTAATTCTTCAGTATCTGCAATTTGCTATAATGAGACCAGGAAGGATAGAGAAATTGTCTTTCCATGTGAATATTTCATTTAGGCATCTTGTGGGATTTAAAAACAAGCCCAGTACTAACTCTTTGGCTTGTTTGTGTGCCAGGCATTGGCAGAGAGCAGCAGAAGCCATTGCTACAGATGCTGGGGCTCTGCTTCCAGTATGAAGAGGGCAAAGATTTGTGGGTTTGTCACCTGTAGGTTCCTAACATTTGGGCTAGGCTTTTTCTTGGGAATGGATGCAGGCACTGATCGATTTGGAACAGAAGAGAGGGAAACTGGGTGAAATTGGGAGTCTGTGTATGCATTGCTGTGCAATGTGATCAAGAATATATATGTGCTCTGCAGCCAACAGAAACTACTGCTCTTTCCCTATCCACTAAACCCTTTCATGCTCACACTGGGTCCTTATAAGTAATCACAGAATCACAGAATGATAGAATATCTCAAGTTAGAAGGGACCCGTAAGGATCGTTGAGTGCAGCTCCCAGTGCTGAATGCCAGCACCCTAAAAGGGAAAGGAAGTTATTCATTGGCCTAAATGTGGTTTTGGCCATACCTGCTTTTCCTGTGGTCGCAGCTTCAAATCCCAATGAGGCAGACTGAAGCAAATACACTGATTTTTGGAGCTCTCCTTATAGCAACTTCAGTTGCAACCCTAAAGTCTCAGGGTTTCTCTGCAGACACTTGGCATATATGGCATGTTTCATCAGATTAAGGCTTTATTCTAGTATCGTGGAAGATTTCTGTTTCCACTGCCCCTTTTTCTGTACTCAATACTGATTGCACTTATGCTTCCCCAGATGTGGGTTCTCTGAATGATGACGGAGGTATTTCAGGCTGCCTTGTTTTAACACTGAGCCATTTGTGAATAACTTTGGATTCTCCAATCAGTGTGGAGAAATCCAGGACTAATTCCATATTAAAATTTCTGCATGTTGGGACCTGACTTTTTTCAATCATATGTTAAAATCAGGCAAGCATGATGTTACCCCAGACTATGAACTCTTCATGTGCTCTATTTCACATGTGCTTATGTATCAAGGCCTGTGAAATGGGAGGTGCCGGCAGCATTACAGCTGGTCTTTATAGTGTAGTCATGCAGATCCCAGGCCTGTTCTCCATCCACACTTCTCCAAGCACTCAGAAGATGTGTTTCTAGTTGCAAGAGAAGGACACAGCCAAACTGGAGCATGAGGTTTCCTTGCACAGCCCTTGGAGACACTGTGCATGAGGTCCGCAAGAGTCTTACCCTGAAATCCGCAGCAGCCTGGACATGCTGGAGATCCACAACCATAGTAAGGGAAGTAAGTTATTTTTTGCAACTTGAAAGTAACGTTCTTTTCCCTAGGAAAAGGTTTCTACCCATTCAGTAGCCCTGATAATGTGTAAGAAAAATTACACTGAAAACAGCTTTCCTTGTGTTTATTAACAGTGAGTTGTTTTACAGTTCTTGCATGCTGTTGTCTTAATTTGTTTGTTTCCACAGGCTACATTTAGATGCTGTTTACAGCAATAAAGAGAATATTACATTTGATCTAGAGCTTTGTGTTAATTCACAGGATGAGATGCGAACAGAAGCTCGTCGAAAAAATATCCTCATTCTAATTCTGCATTATTTAATGGAGAAAGGGTATGTTATTTTTAAAGAATAATGTTCTACATTTGTAGGTTTGTGCATGTTTGACCTCTTGTGATGTGTCCTTCTGTCTTCTGTTGGGTGAGTCGACAGCATGGCCTTTCGGTTTCATATGAGGAAGAGTTAAACTACTATTATATATCTTGGCGCTTTACTTTGCTAAATTATTCCAGTTTCTGGGCCAAAAATATCCTATATAATTTAAAAATACTTCATATAAATAAGTAAGCGTTTTTTTAATGGGGTTTATAGAATCAGAGAACAGTTAGGGTTGGAAACGACCTTAAGATCATGCAGTTCCAAGCCCCCTGCCATGGGTAGGGGCACCTCACACTAAACCATATCACCCAAGGCTTTGTCCAACCTGGCCTTGAGCACCATCAGGGATGGAGCATTCACAACTTCCCTGGGCAACCCATTCCAGTGCCTCACCACCCTTACAGGAAAGAACTTCATGCTTTTATAATAAACATAGTTGTGAACAGGTTAAAAATACCATACGCATACTAATGTCATTGTTTGCTTTTTCTTTTCAACAATCAGAATAAGATAATGAGTCACAGTTGTCAGTTTTGTTTGTTGTTTTTATTTAATTACCAGGTACGTTGATGCTGCGTATGCTTTGGAACAAGAGACGAAATTAAGTTTACGTGGCTTTGAAGTTTGTGACAACATTGATCTTGAGACAATTTTGATGGAATATGAAAACTATTACTTTGTAAAATTTCAGAAGTATCCTAAAATTACCAAAAAGGTCCTGGACACTGGTATGTGGCTGTGTTCCAAAATAAAAGACTGTTTCCAAAGCCTAAAATGTGCATTTGCCTGATGTGCTCACCAGAATTCTCATGTATATCAGCATTTAATGTTTGAACTCTTACAGTTACAGAGCTATAGTTCTAGCACATATGATGTAAGAATTGAGACATGGGGCTTTGAGCTCTTCTGCTCTTTCTTCTCTCTTTCTATAGAGGAACAAGAAGGTTGTATTTTTCTGTCTTTTTAAAAGTGCTTTGATCATGGAAAATGCCATGTAAGCACGAAGTGTTGTGGCATGGATGTATTCACTTTCCTTTCCTGGGAAGGCAATTGTAAGTCTGTTGTATTTTGGATTTAATTTTTAAATTAAACCACTTCAATGAAATATTATAACTTAGCTCATCCAAGCTATTGCTTAAAAGTTTATCATCACTCATCTCATTAACCATCTCTTTTGCACATTTTCATATCCTAAACGTAATGTGCCAAAAAAGTAGTAGGTTTATTTGCTCCATAGGACTTGAAGTCTGAGTTATTAATGAATGATACAGAATAAGGCAAATCAGAATATGAGCATTCTGTTATGACCCTGAGAGCCTGAGTGGTTTTGTAGTTGAGCACAAAATGTAACTTATAGAAGCCATAAGAACTACTGTGTAAGAATCAGTTTTGAAAAGCTTGAAAGCTACAGAAAACACCAACATCTGTACCTGTTTGTCTTGTAAGAAAAATATAAGTTATCAGAGAAGGGGAAGATTGACCAGAGAACGTCTCTGAGCAGTTGTCATTGTTTCATATGGCTTCCAACAACTTTCAGATCACAGGTAAATGAAATGTTTGATAAACACAAAAAATTTCCTGTATAGGTGAAATGATTTTGAAACATAGTTTGATAACCACCATTGCAATGTGGTGTTTATACTGTCTTGGTATGTTGAACCATGATAAAATCAGTATTAAGACAAGTAAGGCAAATTCTTATTTCCCAATTCGGCAATGAAAAAAAAATTAGGATTAAATAGGTGTTCCATGTGATATATTAAATTAGTTTAAGTTAGTGTTTAATTTCTGGTAGTGTCCATTTTACAGTGAAAATGATACTGGTTTTAAAATGTAAGGAAAGAAACCAAAGACTGAATTTAACCTAAAATTTAACAAGCCTGAAGCCAAACTGCTCTCTCCAATATCAGTTTGTTTTCAAAACACTTTTGTAAGCTTGTATTGCTTATAATCATGCTATTCCTGTTTATGCAGTATTTCCAAAGTCATTAATGTGTGCTCAAAAGTATGTTTGAATGGGGTGAGGAAATCAAGTTGCTCTTTTTTATATCCTTAATTATTTTCCATTTTAATATTAATTTTGCCACAGCAGAAAATAAACAACAGCTGAGAACTAGGGGAAGACCAAGAAGGTAAGAGAAATATGTGGGTTTTTTTCCTGTGCAGAAAATTTTCCTATAAAAGCAATATGCAGCATGGTTAAAATAATGTTGTGGTACCACAGGAATACTAAAGTGTAGAGTCACACTGCTGACTCGGTGGTACTTTTTTCTGTATCTGCTAGAGGAAAGCAGAGACTTATTTCCCAAATGGAGATCCAGACAACTTACAGAGGTTTTGCAGTGTGGCTGAGGTGGGGTGGCGTATTTGAGAGCAGTAAGATTGAACTTTGCTGTTTTTGAAATGGATGCTTTAACTTCAGTGGGAGCAAAGGTAGCTCAATACTGCTTTATTTGAAAACTGCCTTTTAATCTTGGTATTTTGAAGGAAAAAAAAAGTTATGAAAGTCTTTCATTATTTTATTTTTTATTTTTATTTTTTTTAATTCTAGGGCAGCAAGCTCTTTTCAGAACCTCCCAAGGCTCAGACATCTGACAGTGCAACAACCGTTGTTAACAACCTCATCTGGAAGTGCAACAGAATTCAGATCTTCCACCAAGGAGAGACCCAGCCAGGTTTACATGTGTTTTATCTTGGCACCGTTATTGTTGAAATTAATGTGACTTTATTTTGAGAGGCTATAGGCAGCGAGAGGGTGTGAGTTTCTCAATTAATAATTATGTTATTAATACCTTTTACTAATTACGTAATTTAAGGATTATAAATGCAAGACTAATGCAAGGAGAATATGCTTCCTGGCTGGGATTTGGGGAGCATGTCACAAGCAAAAATTAGAGGAAAAAGAGTCATATAATCCACCATATATGGAAAGCAACCAGAGTTTTCCCATTAGATTCATCCTTTAGTGCCAGAAAGCAGGACAAGCCAAGCAAGTAGAAAGTCTGCTGTCAGTTATAAGCATCTTCACAGTGCATAAGGTGTGTGAGATTGGGGGAGTAATTTGGCTTTCTAATTTTCAGGTTTTTGAGTCTCGTTTTTGTAAGATTGTGTCAAAACTATTTTATTATCATCCTTTACAGAGGATGGAACAGGAACAGCAGGTTGGTGGGCGAGCACCATATCTGTTACAGCTTTTGAGGAACTAGGTGAAGGACAACCTCTGGGTTTTTTTCAAGTCCTTGTCTGTATTCCTTCATGGAGAGCACCTCATCTGTAACCAGTTTTCACTCTTCAAAAATAAGATTAAAAAAAACAAGCATTAGATTTTTTATTTTACAGCAATAGCTGCTGTGAAGTGTATGTCAAAATAACTTAGAATCTAAAAAACCTCTTCATTTCTGAGTTGGCATGCCGTGCCTTATATATGGATGTCGTTTCCACTGTGTTTCTTCTCATAGCTATGTAAAATGCAGATACCTGCAACTTAAACTGGGAGCTGCATGCATGAAATAGCTTGAATGCTGAGCTCCAGAGACAGTTTTCACCACTGCGGTCACCAGTTAGATGAAGTCTAACTAATGCACAATGGTGTTTGTCTGACAAATACAGGATTACTCTTGCAATTTCCATGTAACGATACAGTTTGTCTGGGCATGTACGAAGAGATGAGATAATACCCATAATGGAATGGCTGCAGCTGATCTACTTGGTAACGTGTCTGGTTTAAAATTTATTTTTCTGTAGAATAATGACAGTGCAGTTACTCTGGAGCAATCTGACTTTGGCTTAAGCATCTCGGCAATCAGCAGAAGTGGAGGAGATGGCACTCACACAAGAAGGGTTGGTGGAAAACTAGTATGTGATTTATGATGGAAATATGCTTATAGAAACTTAAAGTTTTTCACAAATATTTAATACCAGCTTTTGTATCTTAATTTTATATAAAATTTTCATATATAATTAGCCAAAGGGTGAATTTTATTATTTGGGCATTAATTCTTTGTATTAAATAGTACTTCAAACATAATCAAGAGGGAGGAGTATTTCTGGTTTAAAAAAACAGTGATAATAGCTAAAGTTGAAGATAAATTTCAAATTCCTGAATGAGATGATAGGAGGCTCAGCACTTAAATGGTTGTATGACTGAGATACGTGTTCTTTTCCCATTGCTACCATAGATTCCAGGGGCAGTTTTTTCCATATTTAAAACCATATATGAAGTAAGGAAACTCATTGCTGTAATGGCAAGCAAAATTTGGACCAGTGGAGTTTTAACAACATAGTTACCATCATTGTAAAGCCTATCACAACATTATTTTCTCCTTTAGGGCCAGGTAATTGACTTCCATGGGATGATTCAGGATGCTGTCAAAGTATCATCAAATGGAATAGTCTTGAACAGCCTTAACTCTGATCCGGATCCATCAGTAAGTGTTTCTATTTGTATTTCCAATGAATATGAGCATCTGTTTTACATAACAAGGAGCAAACTAAAATACCACAACAACGTTGTCATTGAACATGGAAGAAGACAACAAACACGAATCATAGACTCATAGAACAGTTAGGGTTGGAAAGGACCTTAAGATCATCTAGTTCCAACCCCCCTGGGTTCATCCCAAAAACATACTGCAGAAACCTGCAGAACAGAGGGTGAAATACTGGTTCCTTTGAATTCAATATGTTATTTAGTGTCCACCTTGTCTGAGATAAGAACAGAGTTTGGGTGGTTCAGAGAAATTTTCACTGATAACTCCTTGAAACAAGCCATAGGTTCTCAGACGGTGCATCCAACTTAGGTGGTGGCAGTCTGCAGACTGTCAATACACAGAATGTGATGATGCAGTGACCCCTAGTGATATTTTTCACTCTTAATATATGTAGGTCATATTTAGGACTATGTGTGCAGTAACAGAACTGCTCATTTTAATGTTACTTCAGGATTAGATTCTTTCAGATGAGAAGAGTTACTGCAGGTATAGCTCACTTCAAAATCTTAATTATTATCTATATTTTTCCAGCTTTCAAAGTAGATATAATGATGTCTCAGCTTTTTTGAAACTATGTCATAGTTTATCTATTTAAAAACAACAGAAGTCTGACAAGAACTTACATTTGTCTTCTTTTTAGGAACGATTATTAAAACCCCTTAGTGCTTTTATTGGCATGACTGGTGAGATGAGAGAACTTGCAACAGTTGTAAGCAAAGTAAGATTGGATCTCCATTTTGGTTTTATAGAGATCGTGGTTGTCTTTGTCATCTGAGAATTCTGTTTGTTTCTTTCTGCTGTCACTGATAGTGGTTATTCTTGAATGTGCAGGATGTTTTCTTATCATGCAACTCCCAGCAGGTCATTTCTTTATGTAATGATGTTTCTTTCTGATTCCCGATGGGAGGAAGTAATTAAGCCCATTCCTTTCTAATGGGAAACATGTAATCTAATCATGCTGTACACATGAGACTATCATAGCTTTTCCCTTTGTTCTTACTGCTATATACAGCACTGAAAAGAGATATTTAAATATATTAGCTAATATCAACTATTATTTAATGTACCTGGAAGGAATTCCAATATTGTCAGCCTCTTTTCATTTCACTCATGAGTTGAGGTGAAGTCTAGCAAACAGGCCCTGGGCTACTGGGGGTCAGTGGCTATGAAGCAGGTAAATGTTTTGCATGCATCACTTTCCAAAACCCAAAAGGCACTTGTCTTTGGAGTATCACAATATCTGATAGTGTTATGACTCTTCCTTTCTATAAGCATCAGAAATGGTATCCGCTCTTGCTCACACATACTTAAAACCAGCTGTAAAACTTTTGCTGACTGTTTTTTATAGCTATGTATGGCTGAAATTCTTGGTCTGCAAGTTTTGCACTTGCACTTTAGTAGAATTGACCTCTTAAGAAATTTCCAACCTTAAAGTAAGAAAATGCTCATTAATTTCAATTCAATTCTCATTACATTAAATTTAATTAAATAAAATTTAATTAATGGTATACCTTTAGAAGAACATTGTTCTTGTTGCTACCTTAGAAAAAAGCAACAGGCTTGTTTTAAGCCTTCATTATGGTATGTTTTGTAAATTGTTTTAAACCTTCCATTATGGTAAGTTTTGTAAACTGCGCTAGTATGTTTCTAGTTGCTATGGTAATCAGCACTGTGTAAATCAATAAAAATAAATAGCACATGGTATCTATTTTACAATACAATCTAATTTAATTTGGAAACAGTTATGGAAGTCTCTACTTAGTAGCAGAAATTTGATTCATCTTCATTTGCTGTTAATAAAAAGGGAAAGTGTAATCTATATAAATATTTTCCCTAATTGTATTAAATCATATTTTCCCCTTGGATATAAGCACATAATTTTTCTTCAGTCTCTGGGGACTGCCTGTTTTCATTGGAGAGCAGAATTTATCCAAAGTATTTGTATTGAGGATAGGATATTCTGTGCAGAACAATTAGTCTCTGGAACTCAAAGCCACAAAATATTGGTAAAGCAAATGTAAAGATTCATAGAAGATTTGAAAGTTTGATGAATTAAATGAAATTAATTTAGTAAGTGCTTCAGGGCATAGACTAATTACCGACTATCTTTTGATAAATGCTTAGGGGAATATTTTCCTCCTGTTAAGAGTTTCTCACAGCTTTTCCTGCAACATACAAAGTCTTCTATAGTATGAGTAAATAGCAGTTTTTCGCTGTTACTTGTAAGAATATAAGCCGTAAAGTTACTGAGTGTCAAGTTTAAACCAAAGAAAAGTATTTTCATATTGCATATGATTGAACTGTGGAACTTGTTACTACAGAGTAACATGTTCAAAACAGAGGTAAGAGAAATTCGCCTAAGAATGAATGTCAGAGGGTGTTTGAATTCAAAGACTAAGATGTAATTTTAATTATCAAAGTCTTTGGTTGCAGATTTTGGTGAATGTAAATATGAACCAACATGTCACTCCTGTTGCTTACACTTCTTTTTAAACATCCAGTACTTGCCAGCATAAGAGACAAAATATTAGGGTTGGTGAAGATTCATGTCATGGTAGCTCTTCATGTGTTAGTTAGTTACTAAAAGCAACTGTCAGAAAACAGATCTGAGAAACAGATCTGTTCAGCATATACATTTAGCAGTATATATACTCTTAGGGAAACAAGGGGCTTGAGGGGAAACAAGGCACAGTGTAGCAGCTCTGTAGAAATGATTGCTGTGTATGCTTTCCTTTTGGGAGGTCCCTGGGACATAAGGTTAAATAATACAGTTTCTATAACTTAATAGCACTCTTTATAGCTGAGTCAATTATTTTACTTTGCTAGAGGTTATTATCCAAATGCAGAAGAAATTTTACTAACAGGATGTGGTGTATGTTGCAGGACATTTATCTCCATAATCCAAATGTGAAGTGGGATGATATTATTGGGCTGGATGCGGCTAAAAGACTAGTCAAGGAAGCAGTTGTTTATCCTATAAGGGTAAGGAGCTAAATAGTTTTGAGAAAACCACTGTTTGTCTCATTAGCATTTTCCTTGTAGTTACAGTGGTGTTTTAGGGTTGTCTATTTCAGTGCTTTTGTAGGCAGTTAAAACTGTTTCTGTTCCTGTTTCATCTGACAATGGCGTACCCATTCTCCTACAGGAAAATGGCCGTTCAATATTAGAATTAGTGTTGGGTTTTGTTTTTTGGCACCTTTGGTAATGTAAGAGGTGCTGGATTTGGCTGATTCAGTGGAAAATGACTTGAAGAGTATCTCAAACCAATTGCATTTGAAGAATTCACTTAAACCACATTTCAAATAGCAAACACAAATTGTTTTGGAGGGGTTTTATTCCCCTCTCTTCAAATTTCTTACATTTCCTGAACACGTTAGGAGCAGTGGAGGTAGGGTTAGAGTCCCTTGCATTTTTTATAATTGATAGGTTTTTAATCCTCAACTACTTTTCTATTTCCACAGTACCCCCAGCTGTTTACTGGCATTCTGTCTCCTTGGAAAGGATTATTGCTGTATGGACCACCAGGTATGGAGAGCCTTATACCCCACCTGTTTATCACTGTGTCTGGCTTTGTCCCATGGATAAATCATTGATGCTAATTAAATCAAACGTGTTAATGAAGAACATGTTCTCTAATATTAAATAAAAGGAGATCGTGTTAGATGATTATGTCTATCTCTGGCACTCAAACCTGTCCATTTTCCTTTCTCACAACCCTTGATCATTTCTACACCTTAATCTTCCAAAACGAGTACTTACACTAACGGTTCAGAGGAGGGAGAACTCATATCTCTGTTTTCACTCAGGTTGGACCATAGTAATCAAGTTTGGCTTGACCTGATCTTATGAAATATGAATAAATCTGGACTCACTTCCTTGAGGAGGTGTCCTTTGTCCTTTCTTTCTTTCTTTTGTGTTTGGGGGTTGTTTTAGAAATGGGGTGGAAGCCTTGCTCTCTGCTGTGCTATCTGAGTGTTGTTCATGTCAGCACAGTTTCTCTGCTCCCTATGCTCCACTCTGACACAAGCATTATCACCTTGAGGATGACTGGAAAGTGACAGAGGGCACAAGTACCTCCAGAGCCAGGTTGCAAAGACTGTCACTGCAGTAAACTCCATTTGTTCCTGTGAATCTTTAGATGTACTTGCCAGCAAAGGCATGAAACCATTTCAGCATGTAGTACTTCAGAATTTGAGGAATGCATTTCCACCACTGTATTACCTGAGTTTCTCCAGGCAATCCTAGAAGGGCCACAATGATTTGAGGGCTGGAGCACCTCTGCTGTGAGCACAGGCTGAGAGAGCTGGGCTTGTTCAGCCTGGAGAAGAGAAGGCTCTGGGGAGACATTATTCCAGCCTTTCACTACTTAAAGGGTTCTTACAATAAAATGGAGACAGAGGCTTTTTGTAGAATCTGTATGATAGGACAAAAGGTAATGATTTTAAATTAAGAGGAGGGAGATTTGGGCTAGTGAATGACTCTGAAACACTGGCACAGGTGGTAAAGATGAGGTGGTAGATGCTTTATCCCTGGAAACACTGAAGGTCAGCTTGGATGGGGCTCTGAGCAACCTGATCGAGTTGAAGATGGTCATGATCAGCTTGGGGGGGATTGGACTAGATGATCTTCAAAGCTCCCTTCCAACGCACATCATTCTATGTTTCTATAACTTCTATTTTACTGTTTCTATCTGACTGGTAGTATAATGAGGGGAATTATTCAAACGTTTGCATTGTATTTCTTTAGAGACTGAATCAACAGCCTTTAGAGTCTAAACAAATCTTTAGAGACTTTCTTCAACACTGTTGTTTGTAGGTACTGGGAAAACTTTGCTTGCTAAGGCTGTTGCCACAGAATGCAATACAACTTTTTTCAACATATCAGCATCCACCATTGTCAGCAAATGGAGGGGTGATTCAGAAAAACTTGTCCGGGTAAGAATTAATCTGTCATTTATTGTACTATAACAAACATCAGGTTACCACTTGAAGAACTGGAGTTTAGCACAGAACTGGACAGTGGAGTATTCATCTGACATTCATGCTCTCTCCTGTATTGGACAGCACGTATCTTGTTCTTCAAATGGGAATAACATCACTTCTGTAGGTGTCTCACAATGGATTCTTGCTGTGGAATTCTAGTTCTGTAGTGTAAGATGAAGCTGATTAACACAGCAAGGATGCTGGAGAGGGACCATTCACTAGGGACTGTAGTGATAGGACAAGGGGTAATGGGTTAAAACTTAAACAGGGGAAGTTTAGATTGCATATAAGGAAGAAGTTCTTTACTGTGAGGGTGGTGAGGCACTGGAATGGGTTGCCCAGGGAAGCTGTGAATGCTCCATCCCTGGCAGTGTTCAAGGCCAGGTTGGACAGGGCCTTGGTTTTTACTAAGCCAATATTTATATGTTTTCATTAAAGACATGGTTTAGTGTGAGGTGTCCCTGCCCATGGCAGGGGGTTTGGAACTAGATGATCTTAAGGTCCTTTCCAACCCTAACTATTCTATGATTCTGTGATTCTATTCTTGACTTACTGATAACAGACAGGCAAGCAGAGCTCCTAAGTAGAGTAATGTCTGCTTAGCGACCGTTTCAAAGCACTTCATATCCTTTCTGCAAGGGTTGGCTCTTAGTCTCCTTAGAAAATGTTATCTGGATTCCCAAATTCACTACTATTCTTAGTTCTTAGGGCACAGAATTGGCAAACAATTCCTGTGTCACAAAGATCTTACAGTCAAATGCAGATGTGATGATAGTTAAAAGAAGGTAGTTTGATGGTAAATGGGCAGATGTATTTTTGCATATAGCCTAGCAATTAGCATGCATGGCTCTACTGTGGTACAAAAACATTCAAGGATTCAAGTGTAGCATCCTTGCCCAATATAGCATCTCTGTTATAAATGTGCTCCATTTTGGTGTAAGAAATCTCTAAGCTCTTTGCCTTCCCTTACGCTTATCTCGTTGGCTGCACTTCGGATGGATACAGAGCTCTTGAGAGTGAATAACCGTAACAGATTGCACTTGGCAAATAGCATTGCAAGCATTGTTAATCTCTCTTGAATTTTAGGCAATGTCTGCAACATAATTACTCTTCATATGTCCTTTGTCCTTTAAAATAGCACATTTTTCTTCTGACATTAACCTACTATGTTATTGATTCTCTTGAAATCTGTCTCAGTAGCTTCCTAGAAGTTTCCCTTCTGGCATGAATAGGGAAGGGACAGTCTGTTTTTTGACACCATCATCCAAAAAGGTTTTTGTGAACATGCTGCAGCGTTTGCAGCGATACTGAACTTGTAGCATTTTACCTTTAGTTGAGTTTTTGGCAGAGTCCAACAATGAAATAAGATTGTCGATCAGGACAGCTCTAAGAGAAGTATTGTGTGAATTTATATCCTAAAATCACATGAGGCTGGAGCAGGAGTCTTCTGAAATTGTGTGAGGGATAAGTGAGCTTTTGTAGTCATTTGTAGGCATGTCCACTCAACGGGTTTTCCTCAGTTCTCAGCTGTATTGATGTGATTTTTGTATTTCAGATTTGTAATAAAAACATAGACTGGGCAAATAATTTAAACCTTGTGCTTCATATCCAACATGTAGAAGGTGCATTTTATCTTTTTTAATTTTTTTTTAAGTGTTCAGATTAGAAAGTGCTCAATTAATATATATTGTTAGTGATATTCATTTAAAAACCCTAAGAATACTTCACTGAAGAACTGACAGTATGCTCTTACCTCTAATATAAGCCTGTCCACAGAAATATAGAAGAAATTTCTTTCTCCAATGGCAGACCCAGATTTTTTGTATCAGCTTTATGCTCTATTTTTTAATCTTGATTAAAGATTATGTTTGCTTTCACCAGGAAAAACAAAAGAACTCTTGATTCTTATCAAGAGAACCAGTCCATTTTCTTTCATTATGGTTCAGATGACTTGTATTTTTTTCTCTTAAATCCATATCAAAAAAAAACAACAACAAACTACAAATGGAGCAACAACAAAAGATACATGTTTAATCTCGTAACAATTGAGGGGTTCCCAGAGTTCTCTGATGATCATTTTCTTCTGTCCCATTATTCACAGGATACTCTGATAGGATTTATCCAGAAATATTTACAGAATCGTAGAATAGTTAGGGTTGAAAAGGACCTTTAAGATCATCCAGTTCCAGCCCCCCTGCCATGGGCAGGGACACCTCACACTAAACCATGTCACCCAAGGCTCTGTCCTGCCTGGCCTTGAGCACCACCAGGGATGGAGCATTCACAGCTTCCTTGGGCAACCTATTCCAGTGCCTCACCACACTTACAGTAAAAAACTTCTGCCTTATATCTAACCTGAATTTGCTTTGTTTAAGTTTGAACCCGTTGCCCCTTGTCCTACCACTACAGTCCCCAGCATCCCTATAGCCCCCCTTCAGATACTGGAAGGCTGCTGTGCGGTCTCCACGCGGCCTTCTCTTCTCCAGGCTGAACAGCCCCAACTTTCTCAGCCTGTCTTCATATGGGAGGTGCTCCAGCTCCTGATCATCCTCGTGGCCCTCCTCTGGACTTATTCCAACAGTTCCATGTCCTTTTTATGTTGAGGACACCACAACTGTACACAGTGCTCCAAGTGAGGTCCCATGAGTGCATTTATTATCTCTATATACATATAGAGACGATTATAGGGCTGTGTTCTTTATACTTCCTTTACAGACCTTTGAGAATCTGAGAGGACTCAGGGACCCTCAGCCTACCCAGAGCTTTTTCCCAGCAGATACCCCTTTTGTCCTAGGAATTTAGAAAATGGATGCTGTTAAATTTATCTTCTGTCCAGTGTCCTTAATGCCTTTTTGTGTAAGTTTATCTTCTCTTTCACATTTACTCTTCTCTCTAAACAGGTATTATTTGAGCTTGCCCGGTACCATGCTCCTTCCACAATTTTCTTGGATGAGCTGGAGTCAGTTATGAGTCAAAGAGGCACTGCTTCTGGGTAACTGATGAGACTACTTCCTATGGCTTTAGGATAATATTTTTCCCCTTTCTACTGCATCTTTTCAGTACTCTGTGTGTGTCCAGGTGCTGACCAATGTTTAATCACAGAGTGTACCTGTTAGAGATAAATCGTAGCTAAACTAGAGCCTGAGGCTACTCTATCAACTTCAGCAGGAGCATGACTGTGTCTCTGGAAGACATGTCTTTTAGACTTTATTGACATTATAATTACTTCGAGTGCTAATGGTTAATTTTCTTGACTTTTTATTAAGCAATTTTTCTTTTGTTCTGTTGTCAGCTGTCAGAGCCTCACAGTGTGTTACTGTCAGAATGCCTGTCAATCAGCTCTGAAAGTACTGCTTCATGGAAATGTTGCATATGCTGTGGGGATTTAAAGAGCAAGATGTAGTGGTTGTTCCATTCACAATAGATGAGATCAGTAGAAACGCAAGTGTGAAAGGTTGTGTCAGATTAGCAAGGGACTATGGGTTCAGCGAGACTGGTAGCACAAGGGAAGTGCAAGAGTGTGTAACCAGTGGTGCTGTGTTTCAAAATGAGGGATTTGAAGTGGAAATTTGGGGAGGAAACAACAGATGACTTGTCTGAGGTGAGTAAGAAGCAGCTGATGTTGTGACACTGGACAAGCTTAGGTGTAACAGGGTAAGATGGGTGTACACAGTGGAATGACATTTCCATTAATGGGACAAATTTAAGCGGCGTTGCTGTGACTTCCAGATGCAGGAATGGGAGGATGTCATTATTGTCATCCAGGGCATAGACAGTTTATTGTTAAAAACAGATTGAAAAACTTTGGGATGGGGAAGAAGCAGGAGAAATATAAAAATACTGTTATATCCATTAGAAGCCCATTACAGTGGATTTCATGTACTGTAAATTATATACTCACAAAGATTTATAAACACAATATGCCATATTGTAAAGATACAACATGTAATAATTGTTAGTTAATTGCTATTAATTATGAGCCAGATTTTGCCTTCATAAATACTTTTAACCATCACTGGATTATGTATTTTAGTAAGGATTTTTATCCAAGATTATATAGTTGTTTTTACAGATCCTTATTAAATACTGACTTGGCACTAATGTGTCTGTGCTTTTGCAGAAGTAAGCCATTAAACCTGAGTTGTAGCTTTTACCATGTAAGACTCTGGATGTTTTCTCTGGGTTTGATCCCAGAATTTCCAAGAGCTCCACATCTGGGACCAAGAGTTCAAACCAGTTTCCTGCAAAATCAGTTACCTGGATCAGGGCCAGAGTTCTTACCACTTTGCTTAAGCTCCCCTTCTGTTTTTGAGGAAGGATCCTTTCCATGTGGTGTCTGCCCCATTTTTAATTTAAATATAACATATTTTTCTGTTCGCTTTTGATAGAACATTTTGCAAAATACTGAATTCAAAATCTTCTTATGGCCACTTAGCATTAACTCACAGAAAAATGCCAGTAGTTGCCCTATGCTTGCCTTGTGTTAGTTATTTAATGGCAACTATCATATTAAAAATGTTCCCTTACATAGATCAACCAAACTTTAGCTGTTTTCCAGTAAATGTCAGTGTTGTGTAGAGATTTATATGAATAAAAAAATAAATATTTTCTGTGGATTCTAGTGAATTCTCCTCACTTTAATGCACTGAAGAGAGTCCATTTAAGTAATCATTAGAAAGCTTGATTTTTAATGCTTAGATGTTAGCTAATGGAGCTTAATAATGCTTTGTAGTGGGGCAAAACTGTGACAAGGGCTCAGTTGCTGTGAATGACACTGTATAAATAAAGATGATTACTTTAATGCACTGAGCAAATAATATTTCTCTGAATCTTGGTAGTGGTGAACATGAAGGAAGTCGGCGGATGAAAACAGAATTACTGGTGCAGATGGATGGCTTGGCCCGATCTGATGATCTTGTATTTGTTTTAGCAGCTTCCAATCTGCCATGGTAAGAGATCCAGAGAGTACATTTTGAATACATTTGCATGAGCTTCTAAGCACAGATAAAGATTTTATTTAGACTTCTGCAGAAAAAGCCTTGATATTTGGTTAAAGCATTTAAAGATTAATTTGGAGCTTTTACTTTTAAACTCTACAATTCTTTCTATTTGTGTCACATGAGAATAATCCATAATAAAGTCAACATATGCTAGTCTTACCAGCTGCTAATATTTAAAATGGAGTATTTGACTTTATAGGCAAGTTATTTACTATGTTTAAGTTAAGAAGGGTTTCAGCCTGGAACTGTAAGGTGCTTAAAACATCTAGTACTTAGGATATTCCATAAGTAGGAATGTTGGATTTTATTTGTGTGAAATGCGACTTTGAAAAGTTGAAGGACAAAATGGTCCAGTTTCTTTAACATCATTTAGAATAAAAGAATAAAAGTTTTAAGATTGGAACTATGGCACTTCATCGCATTGTACTGAAAATGGGCAGGCCATGTATTGAGGGCAAGACACAGGAAGGGATGGGGTGAGAAGGTAATATTTGTAGTGTAACAACTGTGGATGCTCAGGGGAATCCAACATACAGGAAAAAATGGCCAGCTCATGTGCCATGGCCACTGCCAGAGCCAGCATGTTTATCTGACTTGGTCATTCATTTGAACTATTGTAAAATATCTTCCTCTTTCATACAAAACATCATCAAATTACAGGATTGTTAGGGTTGGAAGGGATCTCTGGAGATGACCTAGTCCAACGCCCACCCTCTAGTCCGACCCCCAGTGGTTGCAGTTGGTACATGAGAATAACAATGGCTGTTGGTTAAGCACAGCTAGTTTTAACAATCTGATTTGTAGCTCACTAATCATCTAGGTACCAGGAAGGTAATTTTAATTATTTCTCTCTTCTGAACGTAAGAAAGCCAAAGGGAAATGGTCTTCTAGGCACAGAGACACAGTTGCTGCATAAAAACAGGCAGTGTGTTAACCCTTCGGTATCCCTCATTAAAATTAGACAAATTGAAATAAATACCTAAGACTCAGTTGAGAATTAGACAGTTCTTCTCTAATGTAAAGGCTGGAGTTTCTGTCCGTCATGGGAGGACAGCCAGTCTACCTCCTTCTACAAGTCTGCCTTTCCCTCTACATTTTCCTTCCTTATATAAAATCTTACTTTCCCACAGAGCCAAAGAGCAGTGCTTCCGACAGCCCTTGCTGAAATTCAAGTGCCAAAGTGGCAACATAACCAGAAGCTTTCATCTGCCACTTTCTATGGCCTGCCCAGGGCTTACAGGCCCTTTAACTTGGAGAATAGCTATATGGGCACCTAAAATTCATGTAGGAATTAAATGTACAAGTTAGGGTGGTTCCTACCCTGACCCAACAGCATGAATACAAACCCATCACTGGCTCTTACAGCAGTAATAGCAGAGTCTGTGTGTTGGTTTGGGGGATTTATGTCTTGAACAAACTCATGAATTTAGATCAGTACAAAATCCACCCCATTTTGTGTTACAGTATCTACATGAAAGGAACTGAGCAGAATTTGACTCAGTTGCATTCTAGTTGTGTAACAAAATGCTGAAAAACAACTGTTCACACACATAGTAGCTGTTTAAGTTTGAAAGAGAATTAATACATTAATAACTCAATTGGGTTTTTTTTACGCTATAGATGTTGATACTGTAGTATCACTACCCTTTAAAAAAGAGAAACTCTGAGCAGTGCTTTGCACCTTTCTGTTGTCTCTGAAATTATCCTGTGAGCACCAAAGCTTCACATGTGATGCTGCAGCATGGCAGTATTAAAAAGGATCAGATGTCTTTAGAGGATTCATGTCTTTCTACTCCTGCACATCGGTTTGAAAGGAAAAACTGGGTATTTGAAACCCACTGAAGAAGAGTTCAGAGACAGCAAAGGGTCTGAAGGTCAGCGTGTGGCTAATGCTAGATGTAGGGATCTTGGAGATGTGTTAATGAAACATGGAGCTGACCTCTTTCTGCTTCTGAGGAAAGATATTCCTGTGCTTGAGTTGTTACCATGTGTCTGCCTTCTGCAATCAATAAACTCTTTCTGGAAAGTCGTGCAGAAAGTGTAGAATACAGTTTGGAGTGGTTTACACATTTGATTTTGGACCCTTTTTCAATTCTGAAGTGCTAAACTCTGCAAAACTGCTTCTTTGAAACATCAAAAATGACACAGGGTTTGTTTTAAGAAAGACCCAAAATGACAAGATTTCTCCTCCCACAGAAAGCAGTCTGTGTTGATTTGAGGGTGGCAGCTGAGACACTGTGAGAAGCCAGGTCTGGCTTTTCACAGTTCTATACCTGAGAGGTTAGAATTTCCTTTTGGACTTTCACAGTGTTGCTTATGGGCAGGTTGGGTTTTGCCCTCTCTTAAACTAGGCTGTCTGGCATAAATATCCCTGCTGCAGAGAACATGCTTTAAGATGTGGCTGTGTGCATCCTTAGAAAGGTGTTTAGGGGACGGAAAGCTAGTGAAAGCCATGAGCATCTTACATTGTCATTGAAGCTTAAACCTTGAGGAATTTGGGAGTATCTGCTCCCAGAGAGGTCAGACGGGTTTGAACCCCTTTTAAGATATCAACTATATGCTTACAGATTATTTTTGTGTACGTTAGGTGACATTCAGTCCTGCTGTAACACGCAGACTTCAGCTGCATAGGGATGTTTCATAACGAAGTTTCAGAATCCCTAGTACCACAGTCTGAGATTGTGGCTTCACAGAATAGCCCTGTGTTCTTGCAAACATTTGGTATTAAGCTGGATTTCAAGAGATTTGTTTAACTTGGATACTTATTGATCATGGAAAAAAACTAGTGCCAAGCTGCTTTTAGATGAATGAAAAGAAGCCTAAACAAAGCTCTTTATTCTGTCTTTAAGCTACAGCTATTGATCTTCCCCTTCAGCCAATGCTTGCTGCCCAGTCCCACTTCCTGCTACTCATCAGCAAGGCACTTTCTATTGACAAATTACTTGTTGAAATGGTTCAATGTAATTAAATAAAGGCCTCATTAACAAAGAAATAGTGATCCTTAACCATGCAGTGAATATTTCCTAAGGTATTAGTGCATTTAATTCAACTTCCATGGAGTGCTGCTTTCTTCTCCTTCACCTTCATGGTGGGTGAAACTTTGGAGCAGGCTGATAGACTCTGCTTCTGTCTGAGCCTAGTCCCATTGGAGCTATGAGCACGTGGCCAAGATGGATAGAAGGAGAGGTGGGCTGTGAAACCCAAATCAGATAGGTTGGAACTGGATGATCTTGAAGGTCCCTTCCAACCCAAACCATTCTATGATTCTGTGATTACACCGTAACAAAGCCATTCCTTCGCTTTTAGCAGTGCACGGTGTGTGGTGGAGGACAGCGAGGAAGAAGAGCAGAGGATGGTGTGGGGAAGCCCTAAGACATGGAGTGAGACCAAGCCCTCAGTTTATGTGGATTCTGCTCAGGCCATTTGCACAGGAGGGTGGGAAGTAGGAGGGATGAAGTTCCCTTGTTCCTGGTGCCTTTTCATCTAGAGCACTGCAGTGATGATTGCACTAAGCAGGGAGTAATTATGGACCAGTCAGCTCTTTTACCATTTTGGATTTCATCTCTGGAGTTCTTGAGGTCTTTTAATTTCTGCCTAAGATACATTTGTTACGCTTTTTCTTTCTGGAAATGAAAATAGATGTTTATCTTGCTTATCTTCATGAAATTTGGGAGTGATAAAGTAGCATGATGCCTCTTGATGTCAATCTGGGAAAGCTCCATAAAGTCACCTGCTTTTACAGGTGTCTTTTCATGAGCATTTCTTAATACTTCTGTTGGCTGTTGTTTGAGAGAATATTTTGGTTGGCTTAGTGCTTATTATTGTATTCTCGTTAGTGTCCTTTAACCGTGCATTTGATTCCTAACAAAACAATTTAGCAACAGCCTAAACACTTAAGATAAAAATATTCTGTCTTAATTTTCTCTTTAGCCAACAAGCAGCTTCAGAGCACTCCTGGGGTGACCCCCAAGATCACAGTTTCATGAGCACCCTCACCAAACGCACTGATACACAGAATTTGTTCTTTTACCTAGAAAGTTTCCAATTTTACTCTGTTTATGCAGAGGATGATAATATGGATAAATAAGCCAAGGGGTTGGTCAGCCAGAGAGTAATTATTTCCAGACAAGTAAAGCAATTTTGAGAAGTTGAGCTGAAAAATACATTTTTAAGGAGAGTGGGGACTAACCTGGTTCTTTGTTCTGGGTGGGACCCTGTGTGAGACATGTTGCACTGAATGCTGGATGGCATCTTAAACATCTTAAAAAATCAATAATAGTATACCAACAACCATTGATTAACAAACTATGGTATTTAATTCTGGGGTTTTGAGTGAATTCCTGTTGTCCTCTGACTTCTATTGATCTGGTTTTCTGATTGTTGCTTTCATTGCTTTTGGCTCAGCACACATGGAACAAGCTTTCCCAAACCAAGAGGTCCTTTCTGTGAAGAGGGATAGAATCATAGAATGGTTTGGGTTGGAAAGGACCTTAAGATCACCCAGTTCCATCCCCCCTGCAGGGACACCTCACACTAAACCATGTCACCCAAGGCTCTGTCCAACCTGGCCTTGAACACTGCAAGGGATGGAGCATTCACAACCTCCCTGGGCAACCCATTCCAGTGCCTTGCCACATCACAGTAGAAAATGTTTCTACTTGCACTGATCTGAGAGCTGGCCATGCTGAGGTCTGTGGAATGCAGGCACCCATATGCAGATTTGGAAGCCCATTTTGGTTTTCTTTATCATGTGCTAGGCCAGTAGAAAATATTTGCCATTAAAAAAAAAGGACAAATCACCAAAGGTGACAGAAATAAAGTTCTGTTGGTGTGCTATAGATCCGTCTTGACCTGGCTTCAAGCTCCCTGTAAATTAAAGAGGAGTTCCATACAAGAAGTGTTGCTTAAATATTGGCCTTGCTGGCAAAAAGATTTCACCCAGGGAACTGGGGTATGTGGAGGCAGGTTTATTTATGTGAATCTGCAGTCACAGACTACAGACACAACCCTCCCTGGTTGCTCCTGCTCAGCCAACAAGGGTGGAAATGGTGCTTGGGGCTCCCGGTTTTCTGTCTGCACAAGACACATTGGAGCGAGTTTCTCCTTGATGAGTTTCTCAGCAGGTGTGAGGACTGAATTGTGTTTTAAACAGAAATAACAAGCCTGTGACTGAATGGGGCCAATAGAGAAAGACGGGTACAGCACTTGGAAGGGTACTAGCTTGGAGCAGCTCCTGGAAGGCACTGGAGACTTATAACTGAGTAAATATTTACTAACAGCTATTTCTTGTTGAAAATTGTATTGATGATTGGAGTACTAATAGACCATTCCCATTACACAAGTGGCAAGGGATGAACCAGAGTAGGAATTTGTATTCAGTTGTTTGGTTGTGTTACTGTTAGGTGCAAACAACTGAAAATAATTGTGGGGAAAAAAATGTATTAAAATGAACTGTTTGGATGTGTGTCTGAGCGAAGTTGGCATGCCGGGTGTACCAGGACTCCTGACACTTGGTGGAATCTGTGGACACTGGCCCGAAGGACTGTTCATGGATGGTGATGAAACACACTGAGAAAAGAACAGAAAAACATTCATTTTTCTTTCAAGCTTCCTTCGTGCATCACAAGCAAGCAAAAATGAAGAGTAGTCCCAGTCTTTTGTGTTTTACCTTTTTTTTTTTTTTTTTTTTTTGTAAAATACCTTTATCAGTGTTGATGTTAACAGCATCATGGGGTTTGGCTCACTGACACATTTATGCAGCCTGTTCATCCTTTTTATAAGGATATTTTCCTTTTGGCTTATCAGTTATAATCTGTATTGCAGGAGCAGTCTCAGATCGACGTCTCATTCTGTCATAAACACTGCCCTCATATCCAACACCTCCAGTCTGTATTTTATACCTACTAAGCAAGTAATTAGTCCTGACAGTGCCCCAGACAGACAATTAATAGCAGAGGGAGAAAGGGAGAGGTTGTTACTGACTAGACTTATTGCATAGGAGTACCAGATCCAGGGATGATAACTAAAAGTTCTCTTTCTTATTGTTCAGCCTGTTGCAAGCCAGCATCTCTTTACTAACAGACTGAAGAGGAATACACTGGATAATTAACCTTTTCCTTCTTTTTCCTTCTTTTTATTTCCCCAAATTAGGTTGACACAGTTGCAGGTGGGGTTCAAAAATGTCAGTCCCTTCAGCGAGTAGCTTGCTGCCGAAGCCATGTCTCCACAATAAGATGCACTGAGACAATTCTTCTCCTCCTTTGTTTGCAGGGAGCTGGATTCTGCCATGCTGCGGCGTCTGGAGAAGAGGATTTTGGTAGACCTCCCTAGCAAAGAGGCACGGCAGGTGATGATCCAGCACTGGCTGCCCCCTGTGAGCAACAGCGGAGCAGTGGAGCTGAGAACAGACCTGGACTACAGCTTGCTGGGCCAGGTGAGACAGCACTGCAGCTAGGGTTGATGCTTCAGGTCTTCCTGGGTGGGAACCATGTGCAAGTGACACTCATCATCCACACTGATGGAATTACACATCTGTGACATATGGAGATGGGGGAAGGACCTCAGCTCAGTTTGAGGCTCCAGCCAAAGGGTGAGGCACACCACTTAGTGTTTCACAGGCATGTTCCTGCCCATGGAGATCATTAGTTTCTCACAGCCCTGCTTGCAAAGTGGTGTATTCTGAACCCCTCAGTCGGGCCAGCTTTTCAGCCTTAAATACAGGGAGACTTCCAGTAGCAGTATATTTTATTACTCTTCTCACCAGGCTGGGAGCACTTCCAATTCATCAGGGTAATGAACAGTTAATTGTATAGGGAAGGTTTGCCACAGCTCCACTGCTGCAGGAGAAAAGAGCATTTAGACAGTGAAGAGATTCACTTGATACCCAGGCTTTCTTCATTTAGCCCTTTGTCACATCCTAGATTCTTTGAAAATACCTTGCAGCTTACTCAGTTGGCCCTCTTCATGCCTGTTCACAGACACAACGCTGCTCAGTTTTTCTTTCACAGATGTTAATAAGGAAACACAGGTATTATATTAATAGGAAAGCCAGGAATGGACACAGAAAGGTGGGTTTTATTTAACCTACAGCAAATTTCCCTTTAGAAAGAAAATACCCAGTACTAAAATCATAGAATGGTTTGGGTTGGAAAGGACCTTAAGATCATGTGCACAAGTCCATGGGTCCTGATGAAATCCATCCGCAGGTTCTGAAGGAGCTGGCGAATGAAGTTGCTAAGCTGCTGGCCATCATATTTGAAAAATCATGGCAGTCAGGTGAAGTTCCAGATGATTGGAAAAAGGGAAATATAACCCCCATTTTCAAGAAGGGGAAAATGGATGACCCAGGGAATTACAGACCAGTCAGTCTCACCTCTGTGCCTGGCAAAATCTTGGAGCAGATTCTCCTGGAAGGTATTCTAAGGCACATGAAAAACAACAAGGTGCTTGGTGACAGCGAGCATGGCTTCACTAAGGGGAAATCCTTCCTAACCAATTTGGTGGCCTTCTATGATGGGGCTACAGAACTGATGGACAGGGGTAGAGCAGTTGATGTCATCTACCTGGATTTGTGTAAAGCGTTCGACACTGCCCCACACGACATCCTTGTCTCTAAATTAGAGAGACATCAATTTGATGAATGGACCACTCGGTGGATAAAGAACTGGCTGGATGGCGGCACACAAAGACTTGTGGTCAGTGGCTCAATGTCCGGCTGGAGACCAGTTACGAGTGGTGTCCCTCAGGGATCAATGTTGGGACCGGTCTTGTTTAACATCTTTGTCACTGACATGGACAGTGGGATTGAGTGCGCCCTCAGCAAGTTTGCCAATGACACCAAGCTGTGTGGTTCGGTTGATATGCTGGAGGGAAGGAATGCCATCCAGAGGGACCTTGACACGCTTGTGAGGTGGGCTGATGCCAACCTCATGAAGTTTAACTGTGCCAAGTGCAAGGTCCTACACCTGGGTTGGAGCAATCCCAGGCACAGCTACAGGCTGGGCAGAGAAGAGATTCAGAGCAGCCCAAGGAGAAGGACTTGGGGGTGCTGGTCGATGAGAAAATGAACATGAGCCGGCAGTGTGCGCCTGCAGCTCAGAAAGCCAGCCATATCCTGGGCTGCATCAAAAGGAGTGTGACCAGCAGGTCCAAGGAGGTGATCCTGCCCCTTTATTATGCTCTCGTGAGACCTCACCTGGAGTACTGGGTACAGTTCTGGTGTCCTCAACATAAAAAGGACATGGATCTGTTGGAACAAGTCCAGAGGAGGGCCACGAGGATGATCAGGGGACTGGAGCACCTCCCATATGAAGATTGGCTGAGAAAGCTGGGGCTGTTCAGCCTGGAGAAGAAAAGGCTGCGTGGAGACCTCATAGCAGCCTTCCAGTATCTGAAGGGGGCCTATAGGGATGCTGGGATTGGACTCTTCGTTAGGGACTGTAGTGGTAGGACAAGGGGTAATAGGTTCAAACTTAAACAGGGGAAGTTTAGATTGGATATAGGGAGGAAATTCTTTCCTGTTAGGGTGGTGAGGCACTGGAATAGGTTGTCCAGGGAGGTTGTGAATGCTCCATCCCTGGCAGTGTTCAAGGCCAGGCTGGATGAGGCCTTGGGTAATATGGTTTAGAGTGAGATGTCCCTGCCCATGTCAGGGGGGTTGGAAATTGATGATCTTAAGGTCCTTTCCAACCCTGACTATTCTATGATTCTATGTTGTTCAGATCCCCTGCCATGGGCAGGGACGCCTCACACTAGACCATGTCCCCCAAGGCTCTGTCTAACCTGGCCTTGGACACTGCCAGGAATGGAGCATTTATCACTTCTTTTGTCAGCCTGTGCCAGTGAAGCCTGTTCCAGTATTTTCCTTGCTCTTAGAAGGTACTGTGAGCATTCAAAACAAGAACAAGCAACGTGATGTTGAAGGGAGGGTACACATAAAAATATAGATGTGTGTATATATATATATACATGGATATATATTGCAGACAATATAATTTACAGATATTTTATGTATATTTATGTAAAGCGTAAGCCCCATTCCTGTCCGATTTATACATCTGTAAGCTGTAATGTACCCTTCTGATCCCATCCTAGGAAACGGATGGGTACTCCGGCTCTGACATAAAACTCGTGTGCAAGGAAGCAGCCATGAGACCTGTGAGGAAAATCTTCGATGCTCTAGAAAATCATAAGCCAGGTACCAAAGCTCTGAGAAGGGAATCCACTCTGGGAGGTGCTGCCGTAGCTCTGTAACTCTAGAGATGCTACCGTTAACCCCAGCAGGTGGAGCTCTGTCATCTGCGTGGAGACATTGTAAACCCTGGATTTCTAAACATCTACCTAAGATGACCTTGCTGAAAACCAGGGCTCTGTTTAAAGCTGTCAGTGTCTGTGCACAGATACAATTTTTAGTTCATGTCACTGGGTTTATTCTGTTGTTTTCCTATAGGAAGTGCTGCATTAGGTAGTGGGGTGGGTTGAGTCTGGCTGGTGGCCTTGTGTCCACCAAAGCTGTTCCATCACTGCCCTCCTCCTCTGGACAGAGCAGACAAAGCATCACAAAAGGATCGTTGGGTTGAGTTAAGGACAGGGAGAGATCAGTCACCATTTACTGCCACAGGCAAAACAGAGTTGACATGGGGATGTGAGCTTGAGTTATTACCATTCAGAACAGGGTAATGAGAAATAAACCCAAATCTTAAAAACCATCCTTCCCTCACCCCGGCCTCCATCCTGAGCTCATCTTTGCTCCCTGTTTCTCTGCCTCCTCCCCCCCAGCAGCACAAGGAGATGGGGAATGAGGGTTGTGGTCAGTTCATCACACGTTGTCTCTGCTGCTCCTTCCTCCTCAGGGGAGGATTCCTCACACTCTTCCCCTGCTCCAGCGCGGGCAAACTTCTCCAACAGGAGTCCTTGCTGCAGGATGCAGTTCTTCATGAACTGCTCCAGCGGGGGTCCCTTCCATCGGTGCATCCTTCAGGAACAGATGGCTCCAATGTGGATCCCCTGCAGGATCACAGCCCCTGACAACAAACGCAGTGCAGTGTGGGCTCCTCTCTCCATGGGCCACAGGTCCTGCCAGGAGCCTGCTCCAGTGCAGGCCTCCACGAGGTCACAGCCTCTTTTGGCATTCCCCTGCTCCATTGTGTGGGCCTCCATGGGCTGCAGAGGGACATCTGCTCCACCATGGACCTCCATAGGCTGCAGAGGCACAGCCTGCCTCACCACAGTCTGTACCACAGGACAGCCTCTGCCTGAGAGCCTAAAGCAGCTCCCACCTCCTCCTTCACTGACCATGCTTTCTGCAGGGCTGTTCCTCTCACATGTTCTCACTCCTCTCTTGAGCTGCAGTTACACAGGGGTTTTTCCCCTCTTTAAACACATTACCCCAGAGGTATTGCTGCTGTAGTCCAGCCACTACCAAAACCTTGTCAGGCAAACCCAATACCTGCAGGGACATAAAAGAATGTCTTCTGGCAATAACAGCAGTATTTAATCAATTCTCTTCTCTTCAGGTAACCGTAACTTACCCGTGATCCAATTAGACACGATTACCACAGCAGATTTCCTGGATGTGATCACCCACACCAAGCCATCAGCAAAGAATCTAAGCCAGAAGTACACTGCTTGGCAGAGAGAATTTGAGTCAGTTTAAAAAGGAAAAAAAACCAAACCCAAAGATTGAAAACTTCCAAGACTTCTGCTATCCAAGTGCTGTTGTTTCCAGGAAAGAGAATGCAGACACAAAAGTCAGGGGAAAATCTTTGCTTTCAAAACCGGTGAACCTTTTTGAAACCTTCTTTTAATGGTGGGAGGTCTGGTGTTGGTTATTTTTTATTAGCTATTTTTAATTACCATTCCAGAAACATTCTTCATGGAATTAATGTAATGGCAGTTGCTATGTAATGAAGACTCCAGCCTTAATTTTATGTATAAAAACTTAGAAAATTGATTGTTTCTCCGTCTTATTCACAACAGTTGTTGAAGGGTTGGGGTAGAAAAAAAGGAACACAACACTTAAAAATAATTAGATAATATATAAACAGTACGATATGGAGAAGGCTCCAGCGAGAGAGAGCAGCTCCAGTGCCTAAGGGGACTGCAGGAAACCTGGAGAGGGGGCTTTGGACAAGGGCCTGTAGGGACAGGCCAAGGGGAATGGCTTGAACCTGCCAGAGGGGAGACTGAGATGAGCTCTTAGGCAGAAGCTCTTCCCTGTGAGGGTGCCCAGAGAAGCTGTGGCTGCCCCATCCCTGGCAGTGCTCAAGGCCAGGTTGGACACAGGGGCTTGGAGCAACTTGCTCTACTGGAAGGTGTCCCTGCCCGTGGCAGGGGTTGGAACTGGGTGAGCTTTATCATCCCTTCCAACCCAAACCAGTCTGGGATTCTGTGGTATTAGTGGAATTCTCCACTTCTGAGACTCACTAGAACATCTTTGCAATGAAATGTTAACTGCTTTCAGTAAAGTTCAACACCTTAGCAGTGCCTTGGAAATTTAATTAGTTCATTGTTTTCAGCCGAGATCAAAGCCTTGATGTGCCAAACGTATTACTTTCCAGTTGGTTTGTCAGAAGTCTTTATAAGAAATGTGTTCACAGGACTTTGCTTATGGATCTCGTTCTGCAAGCCACAGACTTCCCTTCGGTACTCCAAGCAGAAACCAACACAGGTTCAGAACTGCTGGCATGAACACGAGAAGTGTGGATTTACTCAAAACCGTAGGTTAACAATTTATGAGGGCACACAAACAGTATCTAAAGATGTCTTATGTCATTAGGTGGGAAGGTTTATCAGTTATGTTTCCACTGCAAAGTGTATTCCATTCACGTGTCCTGTCTCTGAGGGAGATTAAATGTGAGCGTAGGCAACCATCCACCACGTACAACTGCAGCCACACACTCAGTCACGTAAGGAAATTCATCCATCACGAAGATTTTTCTTAACAAGAACAAGCATGGCTCATTAACACAAAACTGTATTTTTCAATAAGGTTAATAATCCAGTAATGTATAATTACAAATCTGATAATTTAACACTCGGGAGCACTGTAAAACAACTGCAAAGGACTTGGATTATTGTGGTTTGCAAATGGACCAGAAAAGCTATTTACCATCATTACAAAGTTGGTTCGTACTGGGGGATTTGATGCATAGGAGAAGCACTGCATACTGCAGAATTAAATTTCAGTTTCCTGCTAACCAACTGTGTAAAAACTGGAATCTGTCCCCATGGCTTGTGAGGGATTTTTACCATAATGTTAAAAAGAAACAAAACCCTCCAACAACAGTGACATTTTGCAACTGTAGCATCGATAGGACCCCGATGAAGTCTAATTTTAAAAGACACAGTCTCAAAGGCATTTAATACCAGGGTTTTGTTTCAGTATCATTCTTTTTAATAACAGCATCTAATTAAAACATCTGTAAAATGCTGACAGTTTTTAATTTTACGGCAAATTTCCAAAACAAAAAACCCAGGATCTGTTCTTAATGAGAGGAAAGATATCAACAGTAATTATTATTAAACAATGGTGATATTTTCAAGTCACTTCTAAACGTGCATAAGCTCCACCTTTAAATTAGAGCAGAGCAGGGACATCCTCAGTGAAATCAATACAGGCTGACTGAGGCTCTGTTAGTCTTTGGGGTTTATTTACATGAGTACTTCCAGTGAGGGGGAGTTCAGTTTAGCTCATTCAGCAGCAGAACCATGACACTTTCCAGACAGGGCTTTTCATCAGTTATTTCTTGAAAACTGAAAATAAACAGAACTCTCTGCAGTGCTCCCCATGTCATTCAGGAGGCTGCAGCCTGTCTCCCCTGTGAGTGTCCACAGTCCCTTATCACATCCTCCTGAAACTACTACAGGAGAAGGGCTTTGTGGATCGTCTGCCCTTTCACAATGAGAGTGGAAGGAGCGCACAGCTAGTTTTCTGATGAAAGGCATGCATTGATCCTGTGACAATTTTATGAAGCAAGAGTAAAGGAAATTATGTGAAAGAGATGTTTCTTCAAACTAACTGTTCCCTTCCTCATAGCACCCCCCTGCTTCTCATAGCAGGCACTCCAGGATATGTTCCACGGCCTCTGGGAAACTCTCACAGGTTAAGTAAGGAGCTGGATTGATTTTGTCTTCATCTGCTGGTCGATATTTACCTGTAACACATTAACAAAGTAATGCATTTACCAAGGTACCGTGAGTATCCTTTTCTTCCCCCAAACATTACAGCCTTCTCAGATCAGTAACAGCCAGACACAGCAGGAGGAAATGTCCAACTCTTGAACAGTTTGCCCAGAGAAGCTGCGGCTGCCCTATTCCTGGCAGTGTTCAAGGCTAGGTTGGACACAGGAACTTGGAGCAACCTGCTCTAGCGGAAGGTGTTCCTGCCCATGGCAGGGAGTTGGAACTGGATGAGCTTTATGGTCCCTTCCAATGCAAACCATGATTCTGTGATCTGAGGTTCTGCAACAAATACACCAACAAAAGTATTCCCTAAATGAAGACTGAGTCTTCCTGAGGAGCTCTCCAGTGGTGGCTCTAGCTCAGAATTACTTATGCACCCGTTTCACTCTGCTGTACTGGCACTGTTCTTTCACTGAGTATTCAGATATTCATTTTCTAGGTTCTTGAAATAATAATGTTACCATCTTTCCTTCTGGCTTTTTATGAGGAAGAGTAGGATTACTTGCTTCCATTATTCATGTAATGGGCTCTGTGGCATGAGCAGCTGCCACCTCAGAAAGGCCCCTTCCCTGTCCCCAGTACCATCACTAATACTGATAATACCTGTCAGTCCCTTAATGTTCCACTTTTTTCTGAAGCAAAATTACTTCTATAATCACTAGTGTAATTACTAGGGAATGTCACCAGAGTTCCTGAATGATCAGAAGTTACTTTGCTATGACTGATTTTGGCAATCTAAGATGTCGCAGTAACAGTTCTCTCTGTTCTTTGATTAGTGCTCGGGATTTACAGTCATTAGAGCACAGAATTCACATCTGCAAGACCAGCTACCCCCACTGATCCTGACTCACCCACAGCAATGGCAGGAGTCTGGAAAGCACAAGCACCAGATCTTTGGGGACAGTAGGTGCCAGCGCCCAGGGTGAGACGATGGAATGCACCACTGCCTCCTGAAACAACTGATCTGTGGAGGACTTACCAGTCTGTACCAAAATCCCAAGCATACCCGCCTTCTGAGCACCTCCAACATCATCCCTGCAGTCCTGGGGCAGAACAGGAAATCAGCTGTTAGTGGTCACTTTCTTAACAAAGTTTTCCATAACATTCTCCAGCAGCTATACTGACTCAAATCTTTTGGCTACCTACTAGACAAAGCGTCAAAGGAATGAATTACTAAGTGCCTTTTGCCTGATCAGACAGTGACCCCCATGGACTACAAATAAAATCCTACGAGGTTGGATGGTTCCATTTTCACCCCTTGTTTAATCCCAGCACTTTTAGAAAGATCTCTCTGCAGCATTTGGGAGGCTCCACACACAACGCAGGCAAATGCAGGTGATAATGGCACTCATACCCCACATACATACATCACCGATCATGACAGCATCCTCTGGGGTGCAGCCAGTTCCCCGCAGAGCTTCCAGGAAGAAGGTTTTCTCTGGCTTCCCCACCACAGTTGCTTTGGTGTCCGTCGCGTATTCCAGCCCAGTTATAAAAGGTCCAGGCCCCAGAGCCAAGCCGTCTTTTTTCTTGAAATACCTGGCCTTATGTATAGCTATAAGAGGAGCCCCATCCAAAATCAGCCTACAGAATGAACGAAGAGCAAAGTACAAATGCTATGTTAAATTTACAGCTGAAGTCTTCTGTTGAATACAAAATTCCCACTGACTTTCATGAAGGCCCAAATGGTAACAAAATCTAGCATTCGTTCTCAACATAAAAAGCACATGGAACTGTTAGAACAAGTCCAGAGGAGAGCCACAAGGATGATCAAGGGATATACATTGGTATGCAAAGAGATGTGGATGGGCTGGAGAGGGTCCAGAGGAGGGTCAGAAAGATGGACTGAGCAGCATGTGAGGAAAGGCTGGTGAACTGGGCTGGTTCAGCTTGGAGAAGAGAAGGCTCCTCAAGAGGAGACCTTAAAGCAGCTCCAGTGCCTAAAGAAAAATCTCACCTGAGAGAATTCTTTTAAATGTGACATCAAATTCCCATGTATGCAAAAAGAGAAATTTAGTCCCAGTCACTTCAAATGGAGCCTACAGAATGGCCTTACTCTACGTCTCTTGTTATGGGAATCATATTGGGTTAGATTTACCTCATCTAATGTTGGATATCAACCCAGTAGCTGCCTACAAGGTGATGACTCAGCCTGGGCTCTACAGCATAGTTAAAAAGCACTTCTAGAGCACAGAGAAGGACTTGGAGGTATTGGGTGAGGAGAAGCTCCTCATGATCTGGCTTCAGTGTGTGCTTGAGCCCAGAACCCTGCCATGTGCTTGGCTACACCCCTACAGTGAGCAGCAGGCCAAGGGAGGGGATTCTCCTCTGCTGTGCTTTGGGGAGACCCCCCTGAAGTGCTGATTCAGCTCTGGGGCAAACACATATGAGGGACTTGGAGCTGTTGGAGCGAATCCAGAGGAAGCCATGGAGCTGCTGCAAGGGCTGGAGCAGCTCTGCTCTGGAGCCAGGCTGAGAGAGCTGGGCTGGGTCAGCCTGGAGAAGAGAAGGCTCCTGAAGGGGAGACCTTAGAGCAGCTCCAGTGTCTAAAGGGGTTGCAGGAAACCTGGAGAGGGGCTTGGGACAAGGGCTTGTAGGGACAGGCCAAGGGGAATGGCTTGAACCTGCCTGAGGGGAGACTGAGATGAGCTCTTAGGCAGAAGCTCTTCCCTGTGAGGGTGCTGAGACGCTGGCACAGGGTGCCCAGAGAAGCTGTGGCTGCCCCATCCCTGGCAGTGCTCAAGGCCAGGTTGGACACAGGGGCTTGGAGCAACCTGCTCTAGTGGAAGGAGCCCCTGCTCTTGGGAGGGAGTTGGAATTGGATGAGCTTTATGGTCGCTTCCAACGCAAGTCAGGCTGGCATTCAACTTACCGAAATGCTTTGTTCATCATCTCATAGTGAAAGTGCTCTGGAGCCAGTCCTATCACCACCGCGTTGGGGTCATTAGTGGCTATCCCTGGAAAATCAAAACATGACTCGAAGTGAACTGAATGTTATTCATACTTAGCAATAGAGTCAACAAGAGCAATTAATCACTTTACAGGAAACATGACCATTTTCTGACACAGACACTTCATACTGGCTAGTTTTAGGGTTTTTTGAAATGAGGAAAGCATCTGTGGAACTGACTCTGCCATCCTTCACCATGAACACAGGATTACCAGAGAGTTTTATTTATGACAGGTTATCAGCTGCATCCTGCACTTCATCGGGTTTCTGCCTTCACACAGCATATCCTCTACACCTTTACTGGGACAGGTAGAGCTCCTGGGTCTCCAGAGAGCATTGTTGCAGCTGATGTCTCTTGCTGTCTGTCCTGCAGTTAACTTAGGCAGCAAAACGTACATGCAGAGATGCCGTGTGGGTTTGTGACACCACTCAAGAGCATCTGGGTTCCTTAACCAAGAACGGATTACGTTCATCCATCTGTGACCAACTTTATGGAGAGATTAGCCAAGAATAGTTCAATAGCAGCCATTAAGAGGAATTTAAAGCATTCTCCATTGTATTTAAATGTTTCAAGAGCAGCACTGAGAAAATATGAGCCAAACCGCTTAGAGCAAAAAGAAACAAAATAATCCATTCCAGACCCAGCAATACAGATAATGCCACCAGTGTACTTTGCCATCTTTTACAAAATTAGCACTAGCTACTCTGAAACTGATGGAAAGATCCCAAATACATGGAGATTAAACTGATTTACCTCCAGTGAAATAGCTGCTGTCTCTGCTGTTTCTGACTCAGGAAAGCCTTCCCAAGAACACAAACACAGAATATTGCTGGGGGCATATTTCTCTGGATGCCATGTTAGGTAGAACATATTATCAAGGTTTCACTGCTCACAGAGCCCACACAGGCTTTTCTCCTCAACATTTACCTTTCTGAAGATTAACAACTAGCCTATGGCACTAAAATTTCATAGGGAATGTCCGGCTCCTAGCATGATTAGATTTTACATAAGTTAAATTGCCACAAGGATTTCAGTTCATGAGGCAAGAGGCAGGGAGCAGCGGTAAACCATTCACATTTTTGAAGCTAAATGAAAGACTAGCACAGTTTTCAACTTTGAGTGTGTTAAAAATGTGGGTATCTTCACTGCTCTTGAAACAATGTGGTTAAGGCAAGGACTAATTGCCATTGCTTCAGGCACCTGCCAGATTTGTCCAAGTTAGAATATATCATCTTCTACTGCCCTTATTGTTGAGGGAGTGAAATGGGATCATCTGCAAGTAAAGTGAATTTTAACCAGGTCTTTAGGGAGGAGAGTCTAAAGAAGTCAGCATGGTGAACGTTCTGTCACCAGTTAAGGTATTAAAGTACATGGAATGAGACCTAGATGTTCAATACAATGTAAGTAACAATAATTACTTTGAGATTTCACGATTAATAATAACCTATTAAGAAAGAAATAGCCTCCTCTGTGTGCCTACACACTGGCTTTTCAGCTCTTTATGAGCAAAACCTCTGTACAATAGCTGAGGGAAAGTTTATTTCCAACAAATTGACACATCCTTGCTATAAAACAAATAAGCAATGTATCTCCAATGATCTAATGATAAGTTTGGGTTTTTTTACACTGTAAAGTAATAAAAACCATCAAGTTTTACACAAATTCTAACTTTTTGAAGGCTTTGGCTGCTATTTCCACAACTCCTCAAAGAAGCTATGACTTCAGAATGTTTTACGGTAACTTAAAAAGAAGAAAGAACCTTTATGACTCTGGAGAGTTCCTTATTTCAGGCTTCATCATGGCCAGTAGTACATATATGATTGTCACCATACAAAACAGAGGGCACTATGTTTCCTCATCTGGCCGTGACTTCTTCCATACTGTTTTCTGATCACCTTACCTGTGAAATCAGGCAGGGCCTTATCATCCACCAGGAGGAGTGGCCGCACTTGCTTCTGTTCCAGAAGGTTCCTGGCTGCAGTCAGAGATGTGAAGATCTCATTTTCTGCAATGTCAAAGCCCAGTTTCGTCAGCCTCTCCAGCAGCTCTCTCTTGCACTCCTTCGTTGTGTTCGTCACAAATCGAATGGTAACCGGAGCACTACGCAGCCTGATAGGTGAGGAGCACAGGCATATTGGCCACAGCATCTTTCTATTTACACACTCATACATCAATCTGGGACAGAAAAGGGACTGTTTATCTAAAGGATGCAGGTGAAAAGACTGTACACATCCCAGACTAACGGTGCCACACCAGAACCATGAGGTTGTTAAGTTCTGCGGACTGGAGGGTAATGTGAAACAGATGGCAAGAATTATAGCTAACAGAACAAGACCAAGCCTCCCCTGCATTGCTTCTATCAGGAGAAGTCTGGAAAAAAATGGTGATTCTAAACTCCATTTTCATAGCAGTACCAAACACATCTATGATCAACAACAACTAGTATGAAAAGCCTTTTAATTCAAGCTAGATAATCATAATAGAATCAAGGAATGGTTTGAGTTGGAAAGGACCTTAAAGTTCATCCAGTTCCAACCCCCTGCCACGGGCAAGGACACCTTCCAATAGAGCAGGCTGCTCCAAGCCCCTGTGCCCAACCAGGCCTCGAACACTGCCAGGGATGGGGCAGCCACAGCTTCTCTGGGCACCCTGTGCCAGCGCCTCAGCACCCTCACAGGGAACAGCTTCTGCCTAAGAGCTCATCTCAGTCTCCCCTCTGACAGGTTAAAGCCATTCCCCCTTGTCTTACCACTACTTCCTCCTGTAAAAAGTCCCTCTGCAGCTCTCTTGTAGGCCCTTTAATACTGGAAAGCCACTATGAAAAAACAGTCCTGTATTCTGGATCTGCAGCATCCTGAACCAAAGTAAATACACAAAAGAATCTTGCTGCTAAATTAATGTATTGAACTCCACTTACTGGGTGAATTTCACAGCACTGTGTCTCATTCAGAGATGCAGGATGCTCTAGGAGCCTGCCTTACCCTTGTGGTGGTTTTGTGTCAGCTTCTGAAGCCTTTTCTCCCTTTAATGAGGAACACCGCTATCACATAAACCCACATTATTGCCCTACACTGACAGTACATGCTACCAAACAATCAAATAATTTTAAGTGACAGTTTCAACAGCGTTCCCTTTAATTATTCCCCCACCATCACTTTTCTGTTTGTTGCTATAGAAACAAATCCCAGCATCAAGGCTGCATGGAGAACATCAGGATAAAGTTGGTCAATACTGCAGACTTGCTTGCACCTGCCACTTCTTGTTTCTCAGGTACACTGACCCTTCAGACAAACAAACTAGTAAAAAAAGTCTCCTTGTTGCTAATAAAATAAAAATTTGTAATTTTCTTCTTCCTTTGGACCTCAGTACTGAAAAGTAGCTCTAAAAATGGAATGTACCTATTTGTTCCCTGCCCGCCAAACATTCCGGCTTCTCTCTAGAAAGGACAGTGACATGAATTAGCATAAAAGAATATGAGAAAATATTTTATTCAAACCTCTATGCAAAAAGATCTGCCCGTTCCTTGCAGTGCAATGGCACCCCCTCTCCACACTTGTGCCAACAGGCTGAAGCTGAGAAACAGCACCAGACTGCACCTTGTATCTTCTCTGACCCCCTCACATGCCAAATCCATTACAGGGCCCACACAGGCATGTCTCAGCAGGAATGAAACAAAAGACAAAGGAGAATTAGGGACTTTAGAGAACAGTGTGTCTTCTGATTCTACAGAAGCCATTTTTTATGTCCAACCTACTGCCTAAGGGGTTGGAGTAGCAGCAGACAGAACAGATACCAAGCTCTTCTCGATATATGACAACTTATATACATATATATATATGTGTGTATATATATATACACACATATGGATTTCTGTGAACATTGACTCTCACCTGGCACAAGTTGTCCCTCTGCATAAAACACCAAGCAGACAAGGTTCCGTGAATGAGTGATGAATAAGTACCCAGGACTTCAGCAGTTTTTACTTCCTTGCAATTGGACACCATCACGAGACAACTATATCCACAGAGCTACTTGTGAATAGAAATGCAGAGTTTCCTAACCCCTCTGTGAACTATTCCTCCGACCAATACCTTTATAAAAACTCTAAGCAGTCAATACAACTCCAGTAAAAACTTTCTCATCCTCAAGTGAACCCTATTCCTCTCTCCTGATCCCAGCACCTTAAGGCATCCTCCCTCACTCACCACAGTAGTATAAATCACTTTGTGTTTTACTTCATCTATTGCAAGATGTCTTCTCCAGGCCAACAGTCTCATAACACGGTACAAGGATCCCTGGGGCTGGATATCGTGCCACACTGACTTGGCCAGATGAAGTCATTTTACTATGTCTCAGTTTCTTTAAACACCCTTTCATTACTAGAAAAAGAGGTAGTAAACTGTCCTGTTCATTAACACCCTGGAATACCTACAAAAGGTGGGCTGTATTATCAGATGTTTCCCAAACTGAGGCTCTTTACCTAGCAGAAACTTAACAAATAATAAAGCAAAGCTTTGGCTGGAAGACCAAGTGAAATGAGAACTCTGCAAAGGATGCTCTGTTCATTAGGCCAAGTTATTCTGTTATTCCACTTTAGCTTACCACACACAGAAGGACACAGACTCCTGTGATTAAACAAAGCAGCAAGGAACAGATCAGCTGAGGTAACTGCTGTACGTGGGATGATTTGGGTTAACTGAACTACATTCCACTTTGGCTGAGGCTGTACTGCCTCTGAATACTGTAAAATCATAGAATCATTTGGGTTGGAAAGGACAATATCTAACCTGACACGTCACAAAACTCAGAACTACAAGACCTACGGAACAACTTAGGAAAGCTGCAGGGGCTCAGGCAACTTTTCAGTGCCCTTCAGTGATTTCTCTTGGTACTGATACAGGTGTAAATAGAAGCAGAATCTGGCCACGTTTGCTTATCCACGAAAGCACAAAAAGCACAGTAGCTTCAGGCCTGTCTACTTGAAGAAGCATCTTTGTGCAAACAGTGCTGCCATAGCCTATCAGAGGGAATCTAAAAAGGTCACTTGCCTTTTAAGAGCTTCCTGAGCGCCTGGCACAGCTGAGTCTTCAATGTGAAGTGTGCCGTTGAGATCCACCAAGACAGCTTTCAGTGCACGCCGAGCTGCCATCCTCCTTCCCCAGGGAGAGGGCAAATAAATGAAACAACAGAAAACTGGTTAGCAGACAATGGATAATAAAAATAAGGAACTCAGTTAAGCGCCTCATTTGTGCCAAGCCCGGCACTACTCAGAACATTACTCGCAGTATTAAATGGGCCCCTTTAGACAGAGAAATAAAAGGCAGTGTTTAAAAAAAAAACATAATTGATGGGGTGGTATTTTCCCAAAGACTCTATATATGGAAATCAGGTGCTATTTGTTTTTAAAGTGCCTTTATTTGTGCATGTCAAAAATTCTCTAAACAACTGAGACTGTTGGGAAGAGGATCATTAGGTCTGGTATTGCTGGTTCAAGGCCTCAGCAAACACATTCCAGCAAGTCCCATTGACACCAACAGCGCTGTTGAAGTGAAAATGAATGCAATGCTACTAAATGATGATACACTGTTCCAACTGTATAGCTCAAAATGCTCTGCAAAAGTGGATATTGTTAATTGTAATTTTGTAAGCAAGACGTAGGGTGATGCAGCCCACCACACAATTTGGGTAAGCTACCTCAGGCTATCTGATGGTTGACTGTGTATGTGGCAGCATGGATTTTGCAGACTGTCAGACTGGAAGCGCTCAGGGATATTCAGCACCCCAAACGGTTACCCCCTCCTCTTGTAAAGGGGACAGTCAAGCAGTTTTTCTACAGTCACATAAATAGGTCCATGAGACTCAGCCCCAAGCTGAAGCCAGCATTCAGAGGGCAAAGGCACTGGGGAAGAAAACAGCGAGGTCATGCACAAGTCAGCTGGCTAAAAAGCTGTCTTCAGAACTAGTACTTCTCCTTATGTGTGCTGCAAGGGATGTATTTTACTCCACAAGCAAGTCTGCTGGGCTATTTCTCAGCCAAAGCCCACTGTGGAAGCTTTTCTCCTGTCTGTCTGTTGCTACACAGTCCAAGGTTAAACATCTATGATATAAAGCTGGTAACAGAACTTCTAAGGGATCTTTATCAATTGCTTGGGAAAAGAGGGCACCAGGTTTCTAAGACATCTTCTCTGATAAAATACTTAATGCCTAGACAGAATGGAATTTGCATGACTCCACATTATCTCCATGACAAAAAACCTCTCTTCCCTCAGGCACTTATACCCTGGCACAGGGAATTTTGATGCTGAGACGAAAAGAGGACTGAGAAAGAACTGAACAAGATGTTATTACATAAATTCTCTAGCTAAAGACAATGACTGCAGAGCAAATGCACCATGCCTGCATGGCCAGCACAGCTACAGATGGGGACAGAATATCCTAGCTTAGCAGAAAGTTGGGGGGGGAGGTTTACACCTCTTTTACCATCCATCTCCATTGGGTCTCCACAGTACATTTATTTGGGCAGTATGAAAGTTATTTTCAGAGCCAGTTTTCAGAATGGACTAATTTTAAGTATAGAGCTCACAGCACAGCAGTTTTTATTAAAAACCCTTCAATACCTCAGTTTTCACAACGGCAGCCTAACACGGGTGGAACTTCACATTGGCAATAGCTCCCAGTGCCTAAAAGGGCTACAGGAAAAATGGAAAGGGGCTTGGAACAAGGGCTTGTAGGGACAGGCCAAGGAGAATGGCTTGAACCTGCCCGAGGGGAGACTGAGCTGAGCTCTTAGGCAGAAGCTCTTCCCTGTGAGGGTGCTGAGGCGCTGGCACAGGGAGCCCGGAGAAGCTGTGGCTGCCCCGTCCCTGGCAGTGTTCAAGGCCAGGTTGGACACAGGGGCTTGGAGCAAGCTGCTCCAGTGGAAGGGGTCCCTGCCCGTGGCAGGAGTTGGGACTAGATGAGCTTTAAGGTCCTTTCCAACCCAAACCACTCCGGATTCCGCCACACAGGATGAAGCCACACGGTAACTCAGGCTGGTCAGGACACAGCCGTACAATGAGCAGTGAAGCAGGATCCCCTAAAGCCATGGGCGAACCATAACGCACGTCAGGATCAGGCTGCCCTGAGGGGATGGAGCTGCAGGCTTCAGGGCCACCCCACAGAGCCTCTCCTATGGACCTCCCTGCTCCCCGCGACCGGTCCCTTGTCTCACACCGTCTTCAACGACGGCTGCCTTTCCCTTCCCTCGCATACTGGAAAGGTTATGAAGCCACAAACGCTACATGTACCCTCCCCACCCCCAGACAATGAGATGGTATCGCCTCTTTCGCCAGCTCCCAAAGGGCAGGTGGACTAGTCCATTCTCTAGCAGGGGAGTCTCCGCGCCAGCCGGGCTCCCCTTTCCCGTGACGCGATCGTTCCGCCCGCCCATTCACGCCCGAAGAAGTTGGGCGGGCCCACTCGGACGAGGCGGGGGGGGGGGAGCGCAGTGTGGCGGTGACTCCCTCTCCCCGGCACTAACCTGCCTCCAGCAGCCCCACCGCCGCCCCTGCGCACTGCCCGTCGCCGCTCCGCCTCTCAGGGTCCTCGCGGAGCCGGGACTGGCCCCGCGAGTGCCGGTAGCCGCAGCAGCGGCGCAGCTCAGCCGCCGAGGGCCCGTGTCCCCGACAGGCAACGCGGCTGGCGCCCCGCTGAGGGGCGGGCGGAAAGAGCGGGGGCCTTTCTCCGGCGCGGGTGGAGCTGCACTGTAGGGGGCCGAGGGAGGGAGGTAGGGCCGGTTCGAGAGGTGTCGTGTGTGGTTGTGGGTATTTTCGTTTGGGTTGAAAGGACCTTAAAGCTCATCCAGTTCCAACTCCCTGCCACGGGCAGGGACATCGATGAGTTAAGTACACATGGGTTTATATTGTGATGGTACATCAAAAATCCATCCTCATCCTGAGCTTTAAAACGTTCTGGTTATTGTGATTCCTGCACCAGGTGCGAGTCGTAATATGCTGTTTGTGCTTCGAAATGACATTAGCACAGGCTGCTTTTCACTTCCTGCATGCTCCTGCTTAAGAGCCAGCTCTGAGCTGCTTCGCCTTGTTTGAACTCCATCACAGCAGCCTTGCTTCAGACCTGCTCAAAGCCACTACCAGCAGTGTAGCTACTCCCTTGCAGTTGCTCTCTACGCCCCTTTCCCCGCCTCTCTCCTCGCTACCCTTTTGACCTCTTTCCTGCTCATTAGCTGGGAAAGCCGATCTTCAGCTGCTGCCCCACTTTGAATCACTGTACTGCATCTGCCTCGCGAAACGTGTCCCAGTTTTGCCTCAAACGCAGGACTGCTGCTGCGCAGAGCCACTGCTCCTTCATACTGCACATGCCTAATAGATTCGGAAATCATCTGCCCATGTGCTGTCAGACAAAAATTGACGCTTTAGTGTTCTTGAAAGGACAGGAAGATGGGGGAACTGCTTTTCATCCATTTTTAAAGCTGTAATCTAGTACTGGCTTTGTTTTAGAACAAGCTAGTCCTTTAAGTCAGTATGCATGAAAAGGAAATGGAATGCAAGCTCTGCTTCAAAATTAGTGCTCCAATCCAGTGCATCCACCATGGAAACATCTACCATGGCTTTTTCTACAATGACTTTACAAAAATGCTTGTATACCTTCCATGTTTTATCTGCTCCACATACAAACTGTCCAGTTTCCATGACAGATATAACTGATTGAGCCTGTACCCTCGTTGCCACTGAATTACACAAGGATTATTACAAATAAATACTTCATAATAGATCTACTTTAAAGACTAGCACGATCCTATTCTGCCTCAGGCCAATGTTACTATGGCTCATTAGCTATATAAATCAATATACAGCTTCATAGTGATGATAGTTGCAAGTGCCATAGGCATGAGGAAAAACAAAAAGAGGAGTATTTTATGTAAGAACTGTATGTCTGGTATCTGGAAGAGGATGGAGCTGAGTTTTGAGGTACTCCCACTGTACACAGATATAAAGTGAGTTATGAAAGAGTGCTTAATTTAGAAATTCACAATTTATTGACAAGTTTTCACTAAAAACAGGAAACAACATAAACCTCTCCTCCTGGATAATCTTTACTCTGCAGATCACTGAGATTGAAGATCGTTTACACATTTCACAGATTTATCTTTGTATACAAAGAGCATATGCTTTAGTCATCAAGGCGCCGGAAGAAGAGATGATAAACTGCTTTACAATAGCTAAACCACTTCAGCACAGGAACAGATGTAAGAGTTCTAGCTTTTCTGAAAAGGTACAGGAGAATTGGCCTTCTTAATTCCACACTCGCTCTGTTAACATCGGACCTAACTTGACAGGCTTAACTCAGACAAGGTCTGTACCAAAGCAGTTAGCAGTGTTTCTTCGACAGAACTGCCAGATCACACTCAGTTTCAACTTCCAAGTTTTTCTTTAATGAAGATGGAGGGCAGGGAAGAAGCAGCAGTAACAGTAGAAGCTGCAAATACGCTGGTTTTAAACGAAAACTGCATCTGAAAAGGGCACAGTATTCCCCTCCCAAGCTCAGAATACAAATGGTTCCCCACTTCCAGCACACTAATCACCACAAACAATTTTTAACACACATTTTAAGAAATGTATAATAATCCTTAACAGAGCAGTAACAAACACTAGTCACTAATATCACTCGCTAGTCTAAATCAGCACAGTAACCCAGCTCCAGGTACAGCTTTTTTAGGTTTTGCATAGCAATTGCACCCAATTTCAACTTACTTTGCCACCATTACTGGTTTGAAAAGGTTATGAAACACAGAGGGAAAATCCTGGTCTCAATCAAACCAGGAAAATTTGATTTCCAATGTAAACTGAATTAGGATTTTACCCAGTTTGATCTGTTCTCAATATCACAACTGGAATTCAGAAATCTGTAACATGTTTGATCTCCTCTTAACATCACAACTGGAATTCAGTAATTTATGACATGCTTTATCTCCTCTCAATATCACAAATCTCTCTGTATCACAACTGAACTTCACTAATTTATAACATTTTGTAATATTGAGGGGGATAAAACTGGAATTCAGAATTTGTAACATTTGATCTCTCAGTATCACAATTGGACCTCAGTGATTTATAGTTTTCAGAGCCTAATTCGCATTCTCTTGAACAGTACTGTGGTAGCAAGTGGAATAAAACCCACTTTAATTTAACAACAAATTGTGAAGGATAATAAAGGAAATTCATCCCTGAGGAATGAGACATTTAAAAACCGCATATGATCGACAACCGCGGCAACACCCGGCAACGCGCACACCAACAGCCAGCGCTATGAACAGGCAGCAACAGAACTTGTCATAGTCCAACATGTTTGCAGTGTTGTTGCATTGATCCCCGTATCTTGTGTAATGAAACTCCAATTAGAAAATAGGATAAATAGAAGTAAGTGTCTTTATTATGTTAAGTTGAATGTCAGATTGACAGCTAAACCGTGCCGGATCCCCAAAAACTCAGTGGCGATGGTTCATAACTTGCTTCTTTGGCCATCCAAAATGTTTTTCCCTGGGTGTCTTCAACCAAACAACAGGAGGAGAACGATTGTAATGGAGTTCACTGCTATGAGTGGCACTGTGGGGAAAGAAGAGGAGTAACTGTGAAAATTTCCTTTTCCATATCCCAGTGACAGAACTTTGCATTATCTCAGGAGACTAAGGAGCAAAATCAATCAAAATCTTGAAAATGCACTTAATTTTGCTGCCCAAATCCAGGATTAGTGGAAGGAGCCAGGATCAAAACTTAGGAAGCCAAAAATCAGTAGGAAGCAACATCATTAATTTTTTTCTGTGGCCCATCATGTTTTAACTCTAACCCAAACAACCCCTTCGCCAAATGAAACCAAACCATCTCAAAGTCAGTTTTCAGCCTTGGCTTTGCTCTGATTTAGAAGAAATGCATCAGTTTTTACTCTGTGTGGGCAAAAAAAAAAAATAATTTGTTACTTCCTCTTTATCATCACCTTTAAAAAGAATTTTTGGTGTGCTTTATAGGAAAAACCACCAGTAACTTACAAATTAAAGAATCTTTATTTTTTCTTTTTTTGCTCCTCATCTTTTGAGGTATATAAGCCTGGCTTACCCTTAAGAATACCAGGAATTACGTTTCCCTCACCAGGCACTTCAAATGGTGAAGATAACTGCACTCTCTGACTGATCCTCCCCGCAAGCTCCCAAATTCCAAGGAAAGACAAGACACAGCAGTGGCACCACAAGCCAGAATAAGGGAATGTTTTAAACTTTATCCAAATTAGGGCACCTTAGCTGGGACTTGCGCCCTTCTACAGAGAATCCAGACATGAAGGAAGGACAGATTTGGAATGACGAGCACAAATAGCAGCTGTCTGGTAGAAGAGTGAAAACAATGATGGTATTTCATTAAAGCACAGCAACTTCACAGCCAGTAATATCTGAAACCAACGCCTTACCTCTCATTACAGTTCGTATGGATCGAATGAGGTTCGTTAGCTGAGCTTTAATTCCTGGTTCTTCTCCGAATCCTCCAATCCCTTGATCGCTTCCCCAGCCAACTGTGTCACGTAAGTCCAGCCAGACACGTCAGAAAAAAAAAACACCAAACCACAAAACAAATGCTGTCAGCAATATTAATGGGTGATCTGTCTTGAATAGGGTTCATCTTAATTAATGTAAACCAGTTAGTTTTAGTTTACAATTGGAATTTCATACAATGTACTGAAACCTTAAAAAACATTTTCATGAATGTAACACTAACAACAGATCAATGTTTTTCTGAAGGAAACCCTTACTTTTTTAACAGGCTTTTCATGCCAGAAGAACAAAGGAGTGTATCTGGGTTTAAAAATACCCTCCAAAATAAAACCAAACTACATCCTGGTTCTTTACTAGAAGATAAAACAGCAAATATTTGTTGGGCATGAAATGATGCTTCAGCACTGAGGAAGGAGCTACATGACAGAAAAGGGTCAGCACAAATTCCAAACCACGACAGTGATTTTTGTGACTACTATTAAATAAAAAAAGATACAGTTACTTGGGAGGTTTTCACAGGGACATCGAGCTACTGCAGGTCTACAAAGCCCTTCAAGGGAGAAGCCCTTCCCCACCTGCTGCAGGAAGGCCAAGCATGTGGTCCCAGCAACAGGTCCAGGGAATTTTGAGTCCCTTGACCATTTGGGAATGTTCAGGAACAGAGCTGGGAGAGGCCTTTGACATTTGTAGAATTACAGGCTGCTTTGGGCTGGAAGGGATCTTAGGGCTCATCCAGCTCCAGCCCCTGTGACAGGCAGGGACCCCTTCCACTGGAGCAGCTTGCTCCAAGCCCGTGTCCAACCTGGCCTTGAACACTGCCAGGGATGGGGCAGCCACAGCTTCTCTGGGCACCCTGTGCCAGCGCCTCAGCACCCTCACAGGGAAGAGCTTCTGCCTAAGAGCTCAGCTCAGTCTCCCCTCTGGCAGGTTCAAGCCATTCACAATCTCTGTGTTTTTCTCCACAGACAACATTCGAGAGATTTATTCTCCCTTTCCCATCTCCCTTGTTATTCCCAAATCACGTGGGGCCCACAAGAGACTTGACCCATCCTGCCAATCCCCACATCTTCCTTTTCATCGAACTGCTGCTCAACAAGAAAACCCGAAACACAAACTGAGCAGATCCCTCCCTGCAAATCCTTCCAGGGAACAGGACAACAGGATAACTGTCCGCACTCCTGCCAAAAACCTCACTCAAGCCTTGGGGAAGTCAGGACTCTCCCCACCAGGAAACTGAAACCCTGGACCACAGGTCGTTTTTCCTGGGGCTGTGCAGATCTCTGTGTCCGTGGCTTTTGTGTGCTTTGTGGGGCTTTGTTTTGAGAATGAGGATGCGCAGCCTCAGTAATTTCTCCAGTACCGCGGAAGCACAAGGGTGCCAAGACCGAGAAGTGCCATCTCATCAAGAGAAGGGCAACGACAGGATGAAAGAAACCCTCTCACGCTATCGCGATGTATGGCGCAGATAAGGGCGGAAGGATCTAAAACCACAGAAAAAAAAAAAAAACCCTCTAAAACAATGGAATTAAAGAAAGAAAGAAAGAAATAACGACAGGAGCGACACCGCCCGGACTTCAGGACCAAACCCCCGACGGCATTCCGCGCAACTGATGCCCACACCGGCTCGGTGAGGCGGCAGGGGTCCCCGCCAAGCCCGGAGGCCTTTCCGCGCATGGGCGGTGGCCGGGCGGTGGCGGGGGCCGCGCTGCCGGCCCGCAGGAGGCCCCGCTCGCCCGGGCTCACCTTGACGGAGGAAGCGCTCCTCATGCAGCACGGCCACGGCGTTGACGAAGAGCAGCGCGGCCTGCAGCAGCGAGTACAGCGTAAACGCCATGGCCCAGCGCCGCCACGGCGCGCCGACCGACGTGGCGGGGAGGCGGGAACCATGAAGGGGCGGGGGCTCGGACGGGGCGGGGCCTCTGTGCTGGGTCCTCCCGCGAACCCGACAGCGATGGTCAGCAGCGTGAGCCGCTGGAGGAGACAGGGTGTTATCTTTATGTATTTGTAGAGTTATATATTTACGTTTTTACATTCTTACACATTGATATATTTTTACATTTGTATTCTCATTTACATATTTGTATGTTTCTATGAATATGTAACGTTATGGACATAAATATGTAAATATGTACATGCACACATATTTGTCTGGAGAAGAGCAGGCGCAGGGGGGACCTTACTGCTCTACAACTGCCTGACAGGAGGTTATACTGAGGTGGGGGGTCAGTCTCTTCTCCCAGGTGAGAAGGGGTTGGTGAGGCACTGGAATGGGTTGCCCAGGGAAGCTGTGAATGCTCCATCCCTGGCGGTGTTCAAGGACCGGTTGGACAGAGCCTTGGGTGACATGGTTTAGTGTGAGGTGTCCCTGCCCGTGGCAGGGGGGTTGGAACTGGATATGTTAAGGTCCTTTCCAACCCTAACTATTCTATGGTTCTGTGATTCTACTGATAGGACAAGAGGGAACAGCCTCAAGCTGCACCAGGGGAGGTTTAGATGGAGATGAGGAGCAATTCCTTCCCCAGAGGGTGCTCAGGCATTAGAACAGGCTGCCCAGGGCAGTGCTGGAGTCACCGTCCCTGCAAGTGTTCACAAACTGTGATGAGGCCCTTAATGACATGTTTAAGTGGTGAACTTGGCAGTGCTGGGATAAAGGTTGGACTTGGTGATCTTAAATTACTTTTCCAACCTTTTCCATAGTTGATTCTATGATTCTATGATATTTTATAAGTTGTATTTCTCATATTTTATTTATATGTGTTTATGTGGCTGCCCCATCCCTGGCAGTGTTCAAGGCCAGGTTGGAAGGGCTTGGAGCAACCTGGTCCAGTGGAAGGTGTTCCTGCCCATGGCAGGGGGTTGGAACTGGTTTAAGGTCCCTTCCAACCCAAACCAGTTGGGGATTACATGATCCTATACTGTATTTCATAATATATATATTATATATTATATATGTGTATAGATACATCTATACATACTATATATATAGTGTGTATATATACTTCATATGGACAATATCAAGGTTTTTTTCCCCTGTATATTTTCTATAGATATTCCTTTACATGTTTACCTCAGATCCCAACTGTTGTTAATCCAAAACATCATGACAGCAGAAGTCAGGATTCTTAGCACAATCCCAAAGAAAACAGTTATTTTCTATTGGATTGATCAGGGCCTCTGATTGCTCCTGTGGCCAAATAACAATAATAACTGGAACTCAGGGTACTGTATAGTTATCAATGCATAAATACACATTTTTTTCCCTTGTATCTTTCAGCCCCATTGGCTGAAGGTGGAAATTTGCATGATCACGCTGATTTAATTTTTCAGTGATCTTACACTATGCAAACTCCTGGTGGTCATGGCTTTTATGACTCCATCAGGCTACAATATTTGTATAACCACTGTGCTGTGATGGCTGTTGGGCTCATCACCATGATAGAAATGGTAACTTTGTGCTTAATGTGGTGTACTGGAGGCCCCATCTCAGTTCTTCCCTCTGCCAAAGACTTCTGACATAATTATATGATGTGGGCAAATTATTCAGTTTATCAATACTCTGTGCTTCAGCTCTGGGTTCAGAGCTCCACTCACCAGCAGCCATGAGGTGACCTGATACTTCAGTGATTAATTAAGCATTGGGATCAATAGATGCTCAGGCAGCATGCAAATTAGCCGTGAAGTAACCCAGGCCTCAGCTTCTTCTTGTCTTCTTCTTTCCTTTCCAGAACACTTCCTTTAGTACAGCTGATGACATAATATGGTCAATGATATAATATAGCTGATGATGTAGTATGATGCCTCTAAATTATCATTACTATCAAATAACATTGTATTTTAACAGCTGGAACTGGAAGCAAGAGAAAGTGGTACCCGATCATCAGACCCATACCATATATTACTGTACTAGCTTACCTCCAAATTACTACAGTTAAATAAGAGACATTGAACAGAAAACAAACAATCAAACCTATTCATCAAAGCTTTGTCACCTGGTCAAAATTATTTAACATTTCAGTCTCAAAAAGGAACATAACTCGATTCAGGGAAGCAAGTAAAATATCTATTGCAATTCCACTGAGATAATATTATTTAAGCATATGATGAGGCTTTTATTACGTGAAAGCTCAAAACTTTCCCAAATGTTGGCTCTGATTCTGTAAACACTTTTGTGTAGGATTGACTTAACTCATGCCGACAGAGGGAACACTCGAGCACACCAGCACCATGAACACACACTCAGGAATACCAAAATAACTTCTGTATTTCTCATCTAGATTTTTAAATCTGATATGGATACAAACCTGCTAAATCCTGTCATCTTAACACTTCAAAATGGAGCCATTTCTACTTACCCAGGCTCACCCCAAAGTTTACAAAAAGCTTTTGTTAACCATTCAAACCATCTTTTTCTGTGTATCTATACATGAAAGAAAACCTGATCCTGATTTTTACCAAACCCCCTACATGCAGAGAAAGTCGATATTGGAAAGATTTCATCCCAAAGGTTATTACAGTTTTTAAGGACTTGTGAGCGCTGGCAGATAGTGGTCTCACAAATGGAGCTGTCTTTTGCTCTCAGGCATGACTTAGGGCATTATGGCAGTAATTCTATAATTAAATACAGATAAATATGACGGGTCACTAACAGGCACATCTAAAAACCACCATCCTCAAGCAGCACTTCCTGGGCTATCTCCTTACCGTATCCAACTATAAATAAATACTAACCCCAGTGAAGAGCTAATGTTTAAAATTATAGCCCTGAGATAAAAAAATGAGGTTTTTAAGATAAGTATACAAGTTATGGCTCAGTATTTTTACCCATAATTAAGATGTATTTCCAAAGAGCAGCTGCTATCAAGCTTACATAAACCTGACGTGATTTTCCCCATTGTAAAATCTATCATGGCAACTTAACGACCACATGAGCCTGATCTCTGAATCATGAGTTACGGGAGCTCTGAATCATGGTTGAAGGCAAAACCAGATAGAGTTGCTTGCATTAGAAAGAAAGCATTATATTTTTCCTTCATTAAGATGTTACATTTCAGTGCAGTAAATTCCTGTGGTGTCATGTGGAGAGTGCAGTCCATCACCATAAAGGAGAGATTTAACCCACCTTACAGATGTCAAAGGATTAAACTTCAGGCTGCTGAAGGATTGTGAAGACCTCGGTATTATTTTATTCTCTGTTTATTGTTCCATAGCACCAGACAGAGCACAGCTCCTCGGGTATAACCGTCCTCTACAGACAACAAGACTCGAGCTTGTTGCATGCAAGTTTTCAGGATTAGATTAGTTTATTCTTGATGAGTAAATATCAAAGAAAGTAAATATCAAAGGAAGTATCCTCATGACATCAATCCTTACACCCTGTACCTCACTTGCCACCATCTTACTGAGTTTGTCTTCTGAACTGGCTTTGACAATTTGCTCCTTGAGATATTTTACAGGCACTATTATAGAACCATAGACTCACAGAATGGTTTGGGTTCTAGTTCCAGCCCCCTGCCACGGGCAGGGACACCTTCCACTAGAGCAGCTTGCTCCAAGCCCCTGTGTCCAACCTGGCCTTGAACACTGCCAGGGATGGGGCAGCCACAGCTTCTCTGGGCACCCTGTGCCAGCGCCTCAGCACCCTCACAGGGAAGAGCTTCTGCCTAAGAGCTCAGCTCAGTCTCCCCTCGGGCAGGTTCAAGCCATTCCCCTTGGCCTGTCCCTACAGGCCCTTGTCCCAAGCCCCTCTTTAGGTTTCCTGCAGCCCCTTCAGGCACTGGAGCTGCTCTAAGGTCTCCCCTTCAGGAGCCTTCTCTTCTCCAGGCTGACCCAGCCCAGGTCTCTCAGCCTGGCTCCAGAGCAGAGCTGCTCCAGCCCTCGCAGCATCTCCATGGCCTCCTCTGGCCTCGCTCCAACAGCTCCACGTCCCTCTTGTGCTGCTGCCCCAGAGCTGGATCAGGGCTGCAGGGGGGGTCTCCCCAGAGCACAGCAGAGGGGCAGGATCCCCCCCCTGAGCTGCTGCTCACGCTCTGGGGGTTCTGGGCTCAAGTGCTCCCTGAAGCCAAGTCATAGGAAGCTTCTTACCACCCAACACCCTCAAGTCCTTCTCCTCAGGCTGCTCCATCCAGTCTCCTCCAGCCTGTGTTTGTGCTGGGATTGCCACAGCCCAAGGGCAGGACCCTGCAGTTGGCCTACTATCAGCCAAATATTGTTTGTAAGACACAGGAAAGGCTGGAAATGGGCCCAACCCATCCCAAGCTGAAAATGTTTTGTTGGTGGCAACTCTTTCACCCTTATTTGACTTCTCTAATGACCAGTGAAAAGACTCTTTACTGGGAACACAGCATTAGACTATTTTCAGTGCTTCACGTTAACTGGTTGCTAAAAAATGTGTGTGTCCAGATGAACCTTGCCAGTGGCCCTGGTCATCCCTCAATAGCTGAAAATCAGCAAACTTAAAATACCCACCCTCAGAGCCCAGAAAGAAGCTCACTCTATTGTGGTTTTACCTTAATGGGTCTGTGAACAGTCACGAACCATTGTACTCTGTGGAACTGTATTGAATCAAGGAACAGAATCCTTAAAACTGCCTTCCACATAACAATCTCTACCATGAAAAACTCCCATTAACTGAAAAACTCTGTGTATGTCAAAAATTTTGGTTCTGTGGCTCAATTTGGTGTTATAAATAAGCCCCACTTATACTAAGGCCTTTGTCATCCTTTATTCATCATACTTGTTGCACTGTGAAACCACTGCAAAGGTTAATGATGTATCCTACAGACATGAGGCATCTTTGGCAAGCACAAATTGAGTATGTAACCAGGACAGAACAACTGAATGTCAAGTTGTTTGCTTTAATTATCAAAACTGGGAATGCAGCATATTTTGTACATTTGAGAGT